TTCAGACTGATTCACTATCCAAATTGATAGTGTGCCATCATCCTTTCCCAGAATTAGTGTAGGAGTGTTGCTATCACTATGCCCAAATGGAAAGAGAGGCATATTTGAGCTCCTGGTCATCATGGATACCTCTGCTGATGTTAGAACAAGGCACCCACACAACCAGCAAAAAGGGAGATATCTCCCCTTCTTGTTTCCATTCACCCAATTCTGAAACCAGCAGAGGTACTTTTGATTGCTTTGAGGTTGATGGAGCCTCATGTCTGGGGTGGCTGAGATGTCAGTCCATGGACACTGATATAGTTTCTGCCCAGCTGGATCATGTGGACAGTAAGTGGGGAAGTCCTAATCAGTCTCCAAATTTAGCTGTCAGTGTAGACTCATACTGAGTAAAATATTTTGATTTCCTCAAGATGGTGTAGCTTGGGATGAAATGAGTGAGCTGGTAAATGTAAAATGATGATGACGATGATGATTTACAGAATAATTAGATTGTTTATAAGGGAGAGAAAAAGCCTGATCTACTACAATTTTGAATGGCCTCAATATAATATTCAAAGCAACCAAATCTTTTTAAATGTTCATTGTTGAAGTGGCTAGTCCACAGTCTCATCTAAATATCCTAACTTGAATACAGTTTTGGAATAAGTGTGTGTGAGAGACCTTGTGACTGTGTACAGGGAATCCCCAAATTATGAACAAGATAGCTTCTGTTGGTTTGTTCCTAAGTTGAATTTGTCTGTAAGTCAGAACAGGTACCTCTTAAGTGTAACTCCAGCCATGTATGTGTTCACAGAAGCTTTGGATAGAATAGGGAAGGGTTAAGACCTTTGTGATGTTTCTTTTACTGTTTGTGCCTCTGTTCAGAAGATTTCACCCCATGTTCTGTCCCTGTGCGAATTGGATTTTGTGGAAACAAGTGTTAATGATAAAGCTTCGATTGAGACACTTTCCCCCCATGATAACTATTTCAGGAAATCTTCCTGGGGATAGATTTCTCTCTCTTCCTGTTGTCTTACCAACATATGTAACTATGAGTCATTTGTAAGTGGGATGTTTGCAATTCGGGGTCTGCTTATATATAAGTATGCACACATAGAGTGATCCAATTGGATAACACAACTTTGCCTAAATCAGTACAGATACAATGCCTGCCTTAGCCAATATCTAAAACAAAAATCATAATACCCATGTAGATTTTTGCTTTTTGTAAAAAAAAACCTTACTCATTTTCTATCCAGTCCTTTAATTTTATCACATCTCATTTTATGTTCCAACCAGACTCTTAAATCTGCTCACACTTCATCTACTGATAAGGTCATAGTATTACTGGAAATAAGGCTGTATTATCACTATGAAAAAATTATATAGCATGGAGTATACTTATGAATAAACATGAGTGAAAATGCAACAACAGCTAAAAGCTATTATAAGTACTTAACAAAAAGAAATGTAAAGAAAATAGGTCATGGAAATCTTAATACTCTGGAAGTTCACATACTACTAAGGATGAAGTATAGTAAATGTTTCTCATCAATACATGTACATAAAGTTAATGCCATATAAGAAAAAAGAAAGCTCAAATCTCACTTTTCTAAAAGGTTGCTAGAATTAACATATCTCTATATACAAGTCAAAACATGTTGGTTGGTTTGTACCACAAAAGGCTACTACATGGCTTGATAGATGTTGAACAAACATGGCACACAGACCCTGCATTAAGCAACTTAAAATAATTGAGGGATTTGAACTTAAAATCCTTCATTTTTTTGGACCCACAGCAAAAAAAAAAGGAACAAAGTGGATTGGTAGTGGCTAGATAAAGTTGCCCTCTGTGGTGTGACTGAGAAATAAAGGGAGCGAAGTAGACTGTCTGTTGCTAGGTGACATATGCATGAGGGGAAGGGAGAAGAAAGGAGAAAAGGGGGAAAGGAGAAGAAAAAAAAGGAAGAAATGAAAAGAAAGGAAAGGGGAAAAGATACAAGGGGAGGAAATGGAAGGAAAGAAATAAAAGAAGATAAAGGAAGGAAGGAAGGAAGGAAGGAAGGAAGGAAGGAAGGAAGGAAGGAAGGAAGGAAGGAAGGAAGGAAGGAAGGAAGGAGAAAAAGAAGGGAAAGAAGAAGAAAAAGGGAAGGGAAAGAAAAGGGAAAGGTAGGAAGGGGGGAAAAACACTAAGCATATACACTTCTCAAAACTATTTTAGGGAAATCACACTGTTACGGGTCTTTCTATCGAAATGTTTCTGTGTGACAGTAATTCTGCAAGGTATTTGCTATATTTCAAAGCTGACTATATGGATTGTTATATGTTAGATATATGTTAGAATTTTGTTCATTCTGGATTTTTTTGTGGGTGAGGGATATTAGTTTTTCTACCTTGCGCCACTTGAAATTGGGAACAGGCTTGTCATGCTGGAAATCTACACATTTCCAGGCAGGGAAAAAACCTGATAAAATCCATTTCAATCTGGTTTCAGTCCTGGCTATGGGACACAGACAACTTTGGTCACCTTGGTGGATGACCTACACAGAGAACTGGACAGGGAGAGAGTGTCCCTGTTGATTCTTCTGAACTTTTTGGTGACTTCCAATACCATTGACCATGATATACTTCTGAGTCATTTTTCTGGGATGGGGCTTGGAGGCATTGCTCTTCAGTGACTCAATTCTTTCTTGGGGGGATGGTTCAGAAGGTGATGCTGGGGAATTCCTGTTTGACTCCTTGGCCATTGGCCAATGTACACATGAAAACTGGGAGAGGTCATCCAGTGTTTTGGAGTGAGGTGCCATCTAGATACCGATGACACCTTTTCTATTACTCTTTTTCACCTAATTCCAAGAAAGTAGTTCTTGTGCTAAACCTATGCCTGACAGCTGTAATGGACGGGATAAGAGCAAACAAACTGAAGCTTAATCCAGACAAGAGAGAGGTGCTCTAAAGACAGTTCTGGGAATCAGGATTCAGCCTGTGTTAGACAAGGCCATACTGCCCCTGAAAATCCAGATTTGCAATTTAGGAGGACTCCTAGATTTGGCTCTGAATCTGGAGGCCCAGGTATCAGCAGTGAGCAGGAGTGCTTTTGCCCAGTTAAAGCTAGTGTGCCAACTGTGCCCGTTTCTGGAGAGGTCAAATCTGGCCACAGTACATGCCTTGGTTACATTCTGGTTTGACAATTGTAATGCTCTCTACATGGTGCTGCCTTTATAAAACTGCTCTGAAATCTCAGTTGGTCCAAAGAGAGACAGCCAGGTTATTAATGGGCTGTCTACAGGGAGCATACAACCCCCACTGTTGCAACAGCTCCACTGGCTACCAACTCATTTCCGAGCACAATTCAAAGAACTGGTTTTGACTTATAAAGTCCTACATGGTTTGGGTCCAGGTTATTTGAAGGACTGTATCGCTCTCTGTTAACCGGTTAGAAATCTACAGTCCTCTGGGGAGGGCCTCCTCTTTCTCCTACCACCCAATTAAGTGTATTTGTTTGGTGGGAACATGGGAGAGGGCTTTTTCAGTGGCTGCTCCCAGACTTTGGAACTTTCTCACAAGAGAGACTAGGGTTCTCACATCCCTGCTTCTGCAAACTAGGTAAGACATTTAATTGCTATCAAGCATTTGGGGGAGGATGGGGGTACACTGCTGGGGAGGTTGTAGGGGTAGTTGTGGATTATATTTAATGTTAAATGTAATTTTACTTGTACAAGTATTTTATTGTATCTTAACTGTATTTTAACTTATATCGATGACACAAATATTTGATTACTCTTTAATTGTTTTTAATTTTTGAATTTGCTGTTTTTAGATTTATTGGATTGTATCATGTAATTGTGAGCCATGTGGAGGAGAAATAAAGTTAATAATAATGACAGTAACAACAACAATATGAATATATTTGACAGCATGTAGACAGCTGTATTTGACACTTGTTCATGTTTAGAATGTGTACATGTTTAAATGTAGAAATATGAACATATCAAATTTTGAAGTTTTTCCCCAATAAAATGTCAGCATGGCATTTGTCAGATCACAGTAAATTTGGAAATGGATAAAAGATCAAGTCTGAAGAAACAAACCTGAGAGATATATAAATTCCTAACACTGGCATTGCCATTACTGCCATATCAGTGCATGTAGACTGGCATATCAGGAAGTAATGTGACACTCTTTGTAGGGCCATCTCACACAGTGAGATGCTTCAATTTTTAAGTGTGAAATGCATGCCATTACAAAAGTGGAGTAATAGTTGCCATGCGGCAGATAAAAGCTTAAAACCTGGTCAAAGTTCTGTGGTACCGCTGCAATCCCAGTTAAACAAATCTATTTCTTTCACTGGGTTTGGTTGCATTCTGAATGGGATTGTGCTTTATAGTCAGTATAGCAATTAAATAATTCATAATGGACACTCATTTCTTCTTCCTTCTAGTACGCAAAAATGAATTATGCTTGAAAGATGCCATAAAATAAAAATAAATTGTGCATAGTTAGTTAAGAGTGAGAAAGTTAAAATAGCTCTTCTAATTTGCTGTTGTTTGTGATAATTGCTTTTAAAAATTACTTTCATATTACATTTATGATGTTGTTTTTCACTTCAGCAACTGACAAAGTATCTGCTTGTACAATTAACTAAAACATTCCAGAATTAAAGTGTCAGGCTGAGAACACCAGATGATGAATTTATGGATAGTTTGCCATTTTTATAAACTTTGTGTTGTGTGAAGAAAAAGTTATTTAGCCAATCTCTTGACATACCACATTATTTTCATTATGTACCACTATAATATTTCTTTTCTAATAATATGACAACTGTCTACCCAATGCTCTATATTTTAATGTACTCATTAGCAAGACTATGAAAAGGGGCTACATTTTATTATACAAATGAACCCTGAGATTAAATATAAATTGTGAAATGGATATGGATATGCATGATGTGAACCAATGAACTGTGGCCAGGAATGATGTCACAAAATGCGCAGCATTAAGTGGAAGGTTAAACCTACTTGCATCTCGGTTCATTAAACGCAGTTAAAGTGCAAATTCCCTCATTCTGACAGTAGTAATCACAAGGGTTCATTTTCTGGTCACAGCGCTGACTTTTAAACCCCAAAGAGCATCTGCAGAATTTCAGTAAAATACAACTAAATAAATAAATATTCGGTCTTTTCGTCTTAATGCATATATACAATGATGATAAAATTAACAATAAGGAAATACGCTTGGCTCTCTCATTGGTTGTATAGCCTACTTTTATCCATACATATTTTGTTGAAAGCTATGGGCATGATGCCTGTGAAAAGAGGATCAGCAAAATCCTGTTGCTCCACCTCCCTTCTTTGTTGCATTCTTAGGCTTACAGCCTTAGCATTGCCTCTTAAAGGAAGATATTATGTGCATCTAGCTTTCCTGCATCTTGTTTCTTCAGTTTTGAGCTTGATTATCTCATTTGCTGAGAAAGGGACTGAGAACTCCTTACAGTGGCTCAATTTGTCTGCCTATTTCCTGAGAGGAAAGAGGGGTGAAGCAACAGGCTGATCCTTCACATGCAGTCACTGTGCCCACAGTGGGATGATGGATCATTTCCAATACATGCAAACACAATTTCTTGGCAGCCAAGGACATTTTGTATTCCTTGGTTCTAGAACAAAATGTGAGGAACAAATCCTCCCCCTAACACCCCCCCCCCCCCGCACTTTTAAGGAGTATGGTAAAAATATTACAAAGAAAATATGCTATAAGTGAATATGGCCATATTTTCTATAGCAAAGTTATGTTGTTCAGTTACCATCTCAATGACAATCAAATCAAAAAGATTTGGCACAGGTTGAAAATACAGTTTTCATTTACACATGATTTATCTATGTTTAGAACATATGCCGAACCATTTCAAAATGCCCTTCCAGACAGGCCCTATATCCAAGGATCTGGTCCCAGGTTTTCTGTTTATCCCAGATTATCTGACAGTGTGGATTCATATAATCCAGTTTAAAACAGAAAACCTGGGATCAAATCCTGGGATATAGGGCATGTCTGGAAAGACCCTAAAACTGAAGTCTGCAGGTAAAATAATCAGATACAGATACCTATTACTGGGCTACATGGGTATGAAAATCTACTGTAAATGTCAGTACGTTAATGAAGATTGTATGTAGCTTTTCAGTTCTTTGTAATTCTGATATTTGGTAGTAGTATTATGAAGTATCATTGCTCATAGTTTACAGCTGCTATATGTATTTAACACACTATTTATAAATTGTCATTATAAAAGATAAGCCTGATTTAAGGATTTGTGTTGAAGTTGGGCATAATATCACATCTTAAAAACATTTGTAAAAATATGACTTCTGTAACAATGGAACATTATTCATTTGAAACAAAACATCTCCATTTAATTTATTATAGAAGATTATGGGTTTATTATTTCATCATAATTAAATAATTTAAATCTGCAAACTGAAATAAAGATGGTACAAAGCTAATAGTAAGTACTTAGGGACGCCAATACTTAGGGATGCCAATCATTCTTCTGCTAAATACTGAACATTGTCATAATCATCATAACCAAAAATAACCAAAACAGCATGGGGCCTTCTCTATGACAAAATATCTTAGAAAAGAAGTTTTTACAGTAAAAAAGGAATCGAAAGTGATTGCATACAGGTATGATTGTCAGATAGAACTGCATACTCACAGACAGACAGGTATGTTTGTCTCTTGGTCCAACTGGCATGTACCACCATTGTAGCAATAGCCATCACATAATTGACAGCTGGATGCAATTTTTCCATTTGTGCAGCTATGATTTGTGAGGAAAATAACCAGTTAGCCATGCTATTTCTTTTCAGTGCTACTGCTAAAATATAGTTTATTTAATTACGGAATATAATAAATACCAAAATAGAAAAAGCATAAATCACAGTAAAGTCAGTGGTTGTTGGATAATTTCTTTCTTTTTCACACACTAAATTGTTATTAACTTCTGATGATGAATTTTGTTTGCTCTGCATTTCTAAGCAACATGACTTAATTTAATTTTTCTGCATGAAAATGCATATCAAATTATAGTTATCTTGTGAATTTCACCTTCTTTTGTGATTATGCTATTGGTCGCAGCATGGACTACAAGAATGTGTGTTCAGTAGGACTGCATATTATGCAAGGGATCTATTTTAGCACTCTATAATTTTCATATTACCTGGAACTATATTTCCTTTCCTAAAATGTTTTGGGCTTCCGGACAAAACATACCATAGAATCACTCTGGAGGACCAAGAAAATGTCCACAGAAGTGTGATTCTATGGTCAACTTCTGGCAGAATTACTAGCAGAAATTAATGATAGAATTGCACTGGATGTTTAGAGAGTGATGATGTAGTATTCAAAGCTCTTTGCATATCCATGAAACCAAATTCAAAAGGTTCATGAAATAATTATAAGTATTAGGAAAATTTGCATGTGAAAATAAATGCAACTGTTATTGTTGCCATCATTAATTGACATCAAGTTGAATTTGACATTATAAAACCCCTCTACCTATAACACAGTCTTCCTCTTTTCCTATGGTTTTCTACTTTATCAAGCATTATTGTCTTATTCAATGAGTCATGTCTTCTTATTATATGTCCAAAGCATGACAGTTTCACTTTATTCATCTTGGTTTCTTGGGAGGGTTCAGGTTTGAGGTAGGCAGAGGGAGTGTGTTCCTGATGGTTCCCCTGGACATCTCAGCAGCTTTCAGTACCATTGAACATGATACCTTTCTGTGTCATTTCACTGGGTTGGGATTAGGAGGCACTGTTTTACAAATTGGGGGTTCCAAGGTGAACACTGACATGTTCTCCCCCAGTTCTTACCACTAAAAACCCATGTATAAAACCATCTGAACAAACTCATTGTTCTTATGTACACAATAAGGGATAGGTGAACACCCCCCCCCCCTTTTAGAAGAGGGAAAAATTTGTATCCGGCCTTTAAGGCAACCAGCTGTCACTCATATTGAGATTTAAACTGTACTATAAACCTTAAACGGTTTGGGACCCGTCTACCTTCGTGACCGTATCTCCCTCCATGAACCAACTYGGGCCCTCCATTCTTCTGGGTAGGCCCTTCTTTTGCCCCTGCCAGTCTCACAGACTCGTCTGGTGAGTACAAGGGAGAGAGCTTTTTCCTCTGTGGYTCCCCGACTCTGGAATTCACTACCTGGAGAGATTAGGAAAGCCCCTTCCCTAGAAACCTTTAAAAAGAACCTCAAAASCTGGCTCTTCCGCTGCGCGTTTGATGAATAGATTTACATCCTCACACTAGTGTTTAGTTTCAACGTTTTTTGTTATTAGAGTACATTCCCCCCTTATGGAAAAGCTTGGCTCCATGACCTTCACTATAATGAGCTCTCCTCCGCAAATAATCTGTCTCTGTTTCACCTCGCCTGAGTTTTTAATCTGCTTTTAATCAGCCTTTCTTTTATCCATTACATGTAGCTTCCCCATGTTATTGTGATTGTGCTTATTGTAATCTTATATTGCTATGTTTTCATTTGTTTTATGTAATTGCGTTATTATTGTTCATTATTTGTATTTTTGGTTTTATTTTATTTAATTGTTGGTTTGGGCTTAGCTTCATGTAAGCCACACCGAGTCCCCATCGGGGAGATGGTGGCAGGGTACAAATAAAGTTTATTATTATTATTACTCTTGGGCAGCAAACTAACCTGAGGTGACTGAAGGAGATGTAGAAAGCATAAACCTTGTATAATTCAGGATATATGAAAAGAATGATAAGCAATAGAATCTGATTTGGATTCCCATCTATATGCCACTGAGGTAGAAAGCATAATCCTTGTATAATTTGGGCAGTAAAGTTACTCCTAACATGTGGCATCATATTCTCTAACTGACCATTATCCTTACACTGTATAAGGTTGATCTGGTAGGAATTCCCATCTACATGTCATTGAAGATGAGAAAAAAGAGTATTTCCCCTGTAAATGAATTAACTGCCAACATGTGGTGTCATATTCTTTTACTCAATGTTTTCCTTATATCCTGAGAGAACAATCTGATTGGGATTTCCATCTACATGCTACTGATTGTGAGATGAAAAGCAGGGAAGAACATGAAATCAGTACTCCAGGCCATATGCCTTAATCATACAGAAATTGGTTGGGACATAAAAGATGTAGGCTTTTTCCTTTAAAAAGCCCACACCATTCCTCCAAGAATGACCAATTAAAATATCTGAAAGATGACTCTATCATTCTTAGAATGAAAGGAGGTAATAAAATAAAACGTGGTCACTAGGTTTCGAAACACTGATTTCACTTGTCACTTCCAAACTGACACACTCCTCCAAGGCACCTAGACAAAAGGAAACCAATCCCATAAGTGATCTTTTATCTGAATCTTGGGACACCCGGCCCTTGGCCTTCTTTACTCCCAACTGCCTCTGATCAAGCTCTTTTATCTTGGAGAGCAAAACTGCACAGTTGAAGTCCATTCAGTCCCAATCGAAATTCAGCTACATCTGCTGTTACAAATCTGAAGGTGGATATTTTAGCAGGCACCTTCTTGGCCTGGTCCTTTCTTTTCTTACCACCTTAATATGTAGTGGTCCAAATGTAACTGTGTCCATTAAACCAGACAAAAATGGCCACCCAATCAATTGGGCATCATGTCAAAGGATACCGGCTGAAACTGACTTAAAACCCCAAAGTGGCCAACTACTCCACTGCTAAAGATGGCACAAGAGGAGCATTGCCTTGAAAAACATAAAATGGCCATCCAATAGCAAGCACTAAAGTCTACAAAATGACTGTCCGATGACAGGTGCTAAAAAGTGACCCAATATGGCTACCTGTTGAGACATAAAATGGCTGCCAAATGACAAGTATATAATTATATAATATATTGTAATATTTATTTATACCCCGCTTTAACTCCTCTAAAGGGGACTCAAAGCAGCTTAACATAAAAGCATCAGCATAATCTTTTAAAATATACAAATTGCCTCCCTTGCCTCAGGATTTGCCTTTGAGACTTTGGGTGGGGGGAAATGTTGCAGTTTGCTTTAGAAAAGTTAATTCTACATGTCAGATAGCTGTCTGTATTGATTGGAGTTAAACTTCAACCAGATTTTGATATAACACCTTCACCTCTTTTCTTTCACAGATTGAATTGATCCTTTAGTTAAATTGCCACAAAAAAAAATATATGTGTGTGCATTCACCAAGAGCAAGGTTACTCAGTGAACCCACTTTCAATCAAGGCATTGGTTTCATCATGGAATTTTGAGAAGGAAAGGGCTATTGATATAGTTGCTCCAAATGTCAATACTGATGTTGTGAAGCTTGTAATTTACTTTGGTACGCACAGGGTAAATAACAGTGGAACAAGCTAGTTTACAAGCTGAAGTGCAAGTGGCATAGGTCATGGAGTGAGCAAGATGCAATGTTAGTGAAGACTCTTAATCATGTCTAATCTGCAGTAATGAAGTTGGCCAAAAATGTTATTATGCCTCTACCTTCTTATAGTCAACAAGTCACCTAGCACTAGAGTTATTCTAACTGATGAGAATGCTATTGTGATCAGGCTCAGATCTCAACAAATTATGTAATCTCAATCAATGAAAACGCTATTCCGCCCACAACAATACATTTGCTAGGCACCATAAGGACAAAGTTACATGTATTTACCATAATTATTACAGAGTCTAATGCTTTATCTAGTCCAGCAGCTTGAGATGAGTTGAAATTTTGCAGACTTGAATTAGTCTACGGGATCCATGTGAATGTCTCACTGTAGCAGAGGGAAATGCTTGGTACCTTGAAGAATGCTATAGTGCTTCCTTTCTCTAGTGCCAGCAGTATGTGAGAACTAGAAAGTCCCGATGATATTTTTGAGCAACATCCTTAAGCTTGTAGTGGCTATTAAACCTCTAATATTCTTGAAGAAAGATTATCTGGACCAATTTCAGTCTGGATGCAGGTCAGTGACTTACTACTTTGGGTGAAAAACAGAGGGCTCTGGTAACTTGTTGGTCCTCCTTGTAGTGGTTTTCATTATGGCATCCTACTGAATACTTTGTCAGATGGGAATAGTTGGATTGAGTTTTAGTGGTTCTACTTCCAGAAAGTTGCTCTGGGTGACTCATGTTCAGCTCCATGGCCATTAAGCTAAAGGTGGTTTCAGGGTTCCATTTTTTTCACACTGAATATCTGTATGAAGTCATTGAGTGATGTCATGGGGAGTCTAGGATCAAGCATTGTGTCTTCCTGTATCTTGATCTACCAGTTTAGGGGCTATCTACACATAGTATAAATGGCAATCCTAATCCAGGTGGGGCACTCACTTTGGGGGCTGGCAGGTGTTTGCACTGGATGGCCGCAAGATAGAGAGATAGTGTCTGCACAGTACAGTGGCTCCAGAAACAGTTCAGATAATTGTTGCTCTGGCCTTAACTGTGATCAAAATGATGGTGGTAATCTCTCAATGCTTGCAGTGATTATAGCCAATCAATGAAGGAATACAAAAGATAGGTCATTTCTCCCTATTCCCTGGCCTTCTCCAATTGCTTTCTTGCTCCAGCTATTTATTGTCATTACATTTTCTTGTCTGGTGGTCAATGCTGAAGTCCCAGTGACAGAGCAGACTAAGTTGAATGACAATATGAACAACTATGATTACTTTCTAATAGGAACCTTACTGTTTACACTGGCCCAAAATGTGGCCAACTTCAGGAGTTTTAGGTAAGCCTGTAGCATCCCATAACTTTGCTCAACATGGGACAATGCCACATTAAGAAGCCTTCTCCTGTGTTAAGGTGAGTGGACCTTGTGTGTCATGTTGATGCTACGGAGTCCATTTACCTCTGAGCCAACACATGTGGAATGTGCAGATGAGTTCTTTATTATTTTTTTGTCGTGTCAGGAGCGACTTGAGAAACTGCAAGTCACTTCTGGTGTGAGAGAATTGGCCATCTGCAAGGACATTGCCCAGGGGACGCCTGGATGATTTGATGTTTTTATCATCCTTGTGAGAGACTTCTCTCATGTCCCTGCATGAGGAGCTGGAGCTGATAGAGGGAGCTCATCCACCTCTCCCCGGATTCGAACCTGCGACCTAAGGGTCTTCAGTCCTGCCGGCCCAGGGGTTTAACCCATTGCGCCACCGGGGGCTCCAGGGGTTCTTAATGAGAACCAGTTGCTAGTGATACAAATTCAATTCTGCTTGTTGTTGTTATTGTTGTTGTCGTTGTTGCATCATGCATATGGCTTCAACATATAGTGATATCCTATGAATGAAACACCTCTAAAAGATCATGCTATCAACATCCCTGCTCTATGTCTTGCAGACTCAGGGCCATGATTTTCTTAATTAAGTCAATCCACTTGATTCTTTCAGTTTGCTTTATTTTCTTCAGAATTAAAACACACACACAAACACAAACACACACACACAATTTTTAACTGATTTATCGAGTGTATTTACAGTACACTTAGAAAAAATCTGTTTTTAATATCTGAAAGATTGATCATAATTCCAATAATCCTCACCACACACCATACATATGCAAATTCTGTTAATTTTATGGGTGTACACTAGGTCCAACCAATAATTGGATTTAGGCCAAATTTTGCACAGAACATATTGGCTTATTTTATAAGCAATTATATAACTACCCCATAGTAGCATATGGATAGAGACTATGGATAGATAGTAGCATATGGATAGGTTTTGAATCCCGTGGAAAGAGAAATGTGGGTTATAAATAAATAAATAAATAAATATAACACTTAGCCTAAATCCAATTGCTTGTCTCATCTAATAAATGAAATCTGCTTATGTGTGATTTATCATTGCATAATGTAGTCAATGGTTCTTTGCTAATGTTGGGTCCCACTTTGAGATCTGCTTTGGGAGAAAGGTGAGCTATAAATAAAATAATAACTGGATTTAAAACTCTGCAAATATTAGAATTGCATACTTTGTGACTATTTATCATAACATTGACTTACTTGCACATTATGTCATCACTCTCCTTGTCTATGATACATTGTCCACCATGACATTTTACACATTTGTCAGTTTCACACTTGAGGCCTTCATATTGTAGAGAACAGACACATTCTACATTGCCATCATCAGCAATGATGCAAGATTCAGAATTAACACAATAGTGGTGGCAAACATCTGGAACAAATCAAGATTTGTGCATATATTACTGGTAATAAAATGCTTTTTAAAAAATATATAAAACACGTACAGTTTGATAAAAACATTAACTTTTCTTACTAGATATTAGTCAACCATTAATGTATTAGTAGAATACCATCTATAAATGCCTGGTGAGAGTGTCTTTTTTATTTATCACTTTATTATTTTAAGAGTAAAATATTCACAGTATCTGCCAAACAACAGAAAAGATACATCTAAAGGTGCTTCTGCACAGGCCATATAACCCGATATGAATGAGTATTGGCCTCACAGTACCCACATGATGCATACAGCCTTCTCACCCTCAACACAAGACAAGGTCACTATATACATTTTGTCCCATGTTAGCCAAAGTCAGGGAAAGCTCCAGAGGTTCCCAAATTTTCTGAGCAACAGTGCAATTTGAGGATATGTAAACAGGTAGGCCAGTTCTGAATTGGAACCAACTACAGATATTCACATGGCTAGTGGCCCAGGGGTAGCAATTCCCTTTGTTGCATTTTTGCTATGGTTGTGACAGCCACAGAGCTCAAGGAGCTTCTGGTTGTTTCCTGTTGCCTTTGCAGACACTTGCAAAAGTGCTGGTGCAACATAAAGAAGGGACAAGGGACTGGAATGGAGCAACATGGAGACGGGCATTGCAGACACCCTTGGGGCTGATCTGGAGTACTCCACTCCAGATCAGCCCTGGGGCATTTGGGCCTTATAGGTGCACTCTATATCTATGTTGTAATCTTCTGGGAAACATATGGCAGTGCTCTTGCATCCATGACTCCAGTCATGGGTTATGATTTTAATATCTGTTCTGCTCCTCTTTATAGAGGAGAATCACAGAGATCACATAACAAAAATATTATAAAATTATTTTGATTGTACTTGTGGTTCATGGTGTCACATTAGTGTTGTGATATTTTTATAATGTTGTAACACTCTGAACAATAGACTAAACAATGTAGAATCTGTATGAATGATTACTGTTCACTTTTTAAAATTATCTTTTTTTAATGAAAATAAATAATATTCCCACTTTTCATTTGTTCATTACTGAGTTTAGTGCATCTGAAATGTTCTGTTATTTTCTACTGTCAGCTGACTAAAAAAGTATGATAATCAGCACACAGTGCAGCAAGCACACTTAAATTTACATTTAAATGAATTCCCCCCTTTTTAAAAAAGAGATGTTTGCAGAAGCAGTCAGCTAGAAACAATTTGTCTGGCTTTGGGTAAGCCTCAAGTAAATATTTTTTTTCTTAATCTGTATGTCTGTCTGTGCATGATTTATGTACTATACAGTTTTAAAATAACCAAATGCAGTTATTTTAAATGTAATAGTGTAGTGTGCGTACATAACCTGTGCATAAGGGTATTTCATATCCTTTTTCTGGATCTTTACATTTTTTTCAGTATTTTTAAGAAAGATAAAACGGGAAGAATATGTTCTTCTGTATTAATCTCTTATCTGGGGGTGGAGAGGAAGGAAACTTCTTGCTATACAGCTCATTTCACAACAAGCCAGTAATGGAAGCCTTGAACCTGATATTTATAGGACATGAAGTACACACATTGAATGGCTCCTGTGCTTACCCATCTCATCTTTATTGCAAACAGCCATGTTTTGTTTGTTTGTTGAAAGCTTGACATCCTATTCCCTAACATCTAAGCCACAAAGGATTGGTTTAGAATGAGCACTGAAACTGAGCAATTCCTCCTGACCATTCTTACACATATTTAATAGGCTTGGTTGATCAGGTTCGTTAGCTTCTAAAATCGGAATGAATTCATATTTAAATGACTTATAAAACAATTTCAAGCCATGCTGGAATAGTGTGAGGAGTAATAACGAATTGAAACAATTTACCCATTTTTCGGAATTATTTTCGTATGTCTGGTCAAAGTTTACATTATCTCGCAGTTCCCCTGGTGACAAGCCGCGATGCAGGAGGGCGAGGTGGGTGTGGCCACTCCCTGCCACTCATCGCTATTCGCACTCACCCACTCAGGGAAGGGAAACTGAGAGATTAGTTTTAAATTCTCACAGTTTCCCTTCCCTGGGTGGGTGACTGCAAACGATGGTTGGCAGGCAGGGGAATGAGGTAGGTGTGGCCACACCCAGCTCTTCTTGAAGGCCACGCCCCCAGTGGCCGTCAAGAAGAGCTGAGCATAGCCATGCTCACCTCATTCCCTTGCCCTTTGCAGTCACACAGAGAAGGGAAACTGCAAGATTTTAAAAGTAATCTTGCAGTTTCCCTTATCTGTGTGACTGCAAAGAGTGATGGATAGCAGGCAGGGGAATGAGGTGGGCATGGCTATGCCCAGGTGACTGCAAAGGGCCAATGGATGGCAGAGGGAAGAGGTGGGCGTGGCCACGCCCAGCTCTTCTTGACAGCCACTGGGGGAAACCGCATCGCCGCTTGTCACCAGGGAGGCCAGGGAAACTGCAAGGTTTTAAACTAACGGGGGAGGGCACCTTCCATTAACGAAGTAAACGAAGCTATTCAGATTTTTGCTATTTCCGATCTTTTTTTCAAGAATATTTGAGAAATAATTTTAAAATCGAAAAGCCAGCGCCCCCTATATACGAAACGAGTTTAAAACCATTTTTTTCTTGATCAACCAAGCCTAATATTTAATAGTTTTCTAAGACTTCATGATTTGAGGTGCAAACACCTGCAACTTTGAACTGAATATGGGCACAAATGCCCATCTTTTTCTGTTAAGGAAATTAATGCTTGCAGAAAATATTTACAATATCCTTGCCTGTGTATATCTCAAATTATCAGATTCTTTCTCTCTATATTAACCATCCTATTAGCTGAAAGCACCTAAGCAAATCATAATAAGTTTGCATTTGAGATCACATTTAACTGTTGTTACAGAGATAAGTGAATTTACCCAGTAATACTCAAAGTGATGGGGTGGTACAATTCCTGTATCTTTGACAACTGGTTCCAGGTGAATTTCCAGGAAAGAAAGAAAGAACTGTAATCAATGGGTATAAATATGGTGCAAGTTCCTAGGAATGATTCTATCTCCCTCTTGAGGTTCAGCAACATTCGATATGTGAATCATGATTTCTTGCTCAGGTGACTAGAATATTTGGGTGAGCTAACTATTAAATTTGATAGACTATATTACCAATAAATGTAAACATGCAAGTCATTCCATCTGTTCTTAATTTTCAATCTCTACAACATTTTAGATAAGTTCCCTGTTATTAAATATACTTACAGTATTGGCATCTGTCACCTGTATATTCAGGCTGACAGTGACAGTGGGGCTGATTTCCAGCAGTGACAGTGCAGGATCCACCATTTTGACAGAAATGATTGCAAACAGTTTTGTTGCAGTTTGGACCTGTAAAACCCAGCGTGCAGCTGCATGTCGGCCTCCCTATAAGTTAGAAATGAAAATATAATAAAACTAACATATTTCAGTAAGAAAAATATATACTTTAGAGAAAAAATAACTTTCCACCATCATATTTATGCATTATGAATAAACCATTAGTTTATGTCAAGTAAAATTAAATATTTTAAAAAGTTACTTGAATGAATGTTCATTTCATAATTTTAACAGAAAATATAATACTTGCAAATAAAAGAGACAAGCAACCTATGGATCTGAATCCTTTTTGTTACTGTAAAAATCTAGTCCACTGCAACACATGAAATATAAAATGTTTTAAACTGAGGGATACAGTGCACATAGGAGATACATTTCTTGAGTATGGACTGACTGTTTTACTTAATGATAAAATGTACAGAGCTGTATAATTTCATTTATACATAATAATAAATTGCACTACCAGCAGTATGCTGTGTTATGTTCCACCCCCACAAGAGAATTTAGCTGATTTAGGGCACCAGACATCCTAGATCAGAAGGAGTGTTGTCCTAATATTCAAGTGGACAACTGAAGCCATAGCATGTGTGAAATAGAATAATGGTTTTCATCTTAAATATTTCAGTTTATAGCTACTCTACTTTACAATCGATCCTGGGAATCCAAACAATGTCTGGGGATTTCCAGTCTATCAGGCAGTGTAAAACCAGTTAACCAAGTTTTATCCCATGTTAGAAGGATGTTCCAGAGTTTTGCCAGAACTCTGGAGCAGTTCAATGTTTTAGGGTTGTGTTGACAGCTGGGCTAAATATAATTCAAAACTGTTTACTGTCCACATGACAAGACATAGCCACTTCTTCCCTGTGCTTACAGAGGGAAGGATCGGGCCCATACCCCTCTCCTGTCTCCATAGCAGACACGTATGGAGCCCTGGAGAGTTCCTGGCTTTTGCCATGTGCCTTGACTAATACCAGCAATGGTGCCATGAGACCAGGGAAAAGGAAGGGGATTGTCCCCTCCTTTTCCCTGGTCATGTGGGTGCCTTTGCTGATGTCAGTAAAGGTGTCTAGTGATGGCCAGAAGCTCTCTGGAGCTCCATGGTGGTCTGGCAGTGGTGGCAAGTGACTGCCAAGGCAATGTGTTATTCCAGTAAGGCTGAACCAGTTTCATTCCCATTTCATAGTTTGAAAATTACTGCCACTATGGAATGGAGATGGACAGTATGGCCATCCTCAGGGCCAGTCCAGAGTATTACTGTTTCAGACCAGCTTTGGATTAAGTGGCTTGTTTCTTTGAATGCAAATGCAAGTTTACACAGCAAAGTTTAGGGAACAAAGACATTTTAATGAATAAATATGAATACATAGAATGGTATCTCTATTATCATAATTTGAAATACAAAAAACAAAGGAAATGATGTTATTATGATCTGAAATTTTACAGCACTGTTGGAAAAACACCAAAAAGTAATATTGCATGTTATGTATGTGTGATATGTAGCAGTGAGATTCTGATTATGTAAGTTCCTTAAAGCATGTACTTCCACAAGTAAACATGTTTTCTAACATAATGTGTTAAGCATTCACACTCCTTTTGATCATCATTCTTATTGAAATATAATGCTTCCCTCTAAGAACTGAAAAAGACTTTCCCTATCACTTGCTTTCATCTGTCACCTGCCTTTAATGAGTTCCATTCCATCTGACCAACATGTTTTGAAGAAAGCTATCTGGGTGTCTTTGCTATTTTTACCACTGCCCTCTACTTCCCCTTGTTCTCATTGATCGTATCCAATTCTGACATTGCAATATTTTTGTTTATGCCCTTTCTTAAATTGCTTCTGGTCAAAATCTATGATTTTGCTGACTATACCAGGATGCACAGCTCCATGTTTCTTGCTCAAAACTGTCATCAATACAATACTCGCATGCTGAAAATATTAATGAAGTTGGTAAATATAATTCTTTCTTTTTCCTAGGTAATAATCTGAAAACCTGCCATTTTAGCAGCCCCTACATAACATGTTATTGTGGAGTAAAATATATTATTTCAGGCATCAATATTCTCCGTAAACTATTTGCGTACCACGCTCTTCAAAAAACACTTATGTGTAAAGCAGTTTATTGCCATTTCAGTGCTGGATAACTTAATTTTATACTTAAGTTATATCCACAGAAGAAATTTTCTTGCATGAAGTAGTTATGCTTAAGAAATGTGTAACTGTAAATTTTAACACAGACAAATTTTTACCTATAACAATAACATGCAGAGTAAAACAAAACCATGATTAGATTTTGTTTGTTTATTTCAAATTGTGCAACACTGATATGGCTAAAAAATACCAACAACCTTAGTCAATCTGCATTTTAAAATACATATGTTGAAGGAATGGGCTAAATCTAGTTGTTAAAACTAATCACAATGGGTCAGTTTAGCTAGCATTTGGATAATAACTGTTTTAGAAAGTTCCTATTAATTTGGTGGATTTATTCTAGTTGATATTTACACATTTCTTTAGTGTAAACTTTTGTAGTTGTACCTCACACCATTTATCATCAATAATATACAGTAATTTTTGCACAGATAAGATATGAAATATAGCCTAAATGTTAAATGTAGGTTGCCTGCTCTTAGGGTTTAGTCTTAAACTTTAAATGTGGAATGAACAAAGATGCATAATCAACATTTTAGTATGATTTAATACTTTTTGGATTATTATTTTGATTTTCACCCACCATGGGAAATATTGCTTCAAGTTTCAGTTCTCCGGTAGTTCAAATGTACAGTATATTCTGGCGTATAAGACTACTTTTTAACCCAATAAAATCTTCTCAAAAGTCAGGGGTCGTCTTATACGCGGGTGTAGTCTTATGCGTGGGGGTCGTCTAAACTCTATATTTTAACTGGAAAAGTTGGGGGTCGTCTTATACGTCCAGTCGTCTTATATGCCGGAATATACGGTATGTTTATATCTTGAGAAAAACAGCTAGTTTAAGGTCATATATTTAATTAATTAATGGTCAAAAACCGGCAACCTTACTTTAGCACAGGAGTCCCCAAACTACAGCCCGATGGCCGCATACAGCCCTCCAAGGTCATTTACCGGGCCCTCGCTCAGGGTCAAACTAAGTCTAAAATGACTTGAAAGCACACAACAACAACAACAATCCTATCTCATCAGCCAAAAGCAGACCCACACTTCCCACTGAAATACTAATAAGCTTATATTTGTTAAAATTGTTCTTCATTTTAATTATTGTATTGTTTTAAAGTGGTTTTTTTTGCACAACAAATAATATATGTGCAGTGTGCATAGGAATTCATTCATGTTTTTTTTCAAATTATAATCCAGTTCTCCAACAGTTTGAGGGACTGTGACCTGGCCCTCTGTTTAAAAAGTTTGAGGGCCCCTGCTTTAGCACAACCTTATTTTGAGACTTTAGGCAATTTTATTCTGGTATCCAATATCTTATCTGGATATTAGACTGAGCTTTAAAGGAGATACCAAAAAGAGTAAAACCTATCATCAAACTAGAGTCAGATCCTGTACCACTCTTTTCCACTTTAAACTAAAAACCCACGCAAAAACTTCATGAATCTATTAATATTAAACCCATCATTTGACACTATCTGTGAGCCTGAAGGAGGGAAGCTTAATGTCTGGCATGCCACAGGGCCAATCAAAAGCTTCTTTTGTTATGGGGGTGGGCATGGACCTCAGAAATAAGTTATTACTATGATCAGTTCACCAAACATTTTTGTAACATCACTATGTAAGTGAGACATTGCAATTTGAATCAAGACACGGACTCACAGTGAGAGTGAATTTATGTTAAAATTTCACACTCATCTCTCCTCAACCTAGGAAGCTCTGGCCCTGCCCATGGACGGGTGGTGAGCGGGTAGGCAGAATAGACATATCTGGATTTATTTGTTCAAGGCAATTTTTCTTCAATCCTATTTGGTAAAACTAAAAACTTGCAGTTTTGTTCTCCATCTTTTGAATATCATTGATAAAGTTCATTTCCTCAGTCTATTAACCCGGTTCATTCATAAAGTAAGAGCCCTGTATCATTTTATTGGTACAGAGTATCAGTGAACATAAAAGACACCCAGAACTAACAACTAAAGCCAGTTACAAACACAGCATTTTGCAATACATTTTGAAAGAAAATGGTATAACTGAGTACTTGAAATGAAAGGGCTTTCTTTGGAACATAATTTTGGGACTGGAGAATCCATAGTGACATTAAGATAAAACTTTCCCTAATACTGAGAATTTGTAAAAGTATGTTAAATTATGTGGAAAATTAAAGATGAACCAATAACAACACAAGGACATTTAATCAACTACCAAACTTGCAAATTTTGTGTTTTGTCTGTTTGTTTGTTTGTTTTGTTCTGTTAGAAATGTAATACAATTGACTGGTTGCGCTGACACGACAAATAAATAACAACACTAATACAAGATACTGCCTTGCTGAAATAAAATCACTGGAAAGGTCATTGTAGCATTCCAAACTATTTCATATTTGTATTGAAAAATGCTTTCAAGACAACAGTTATCTTTAATAATGTTCAGCCAAATAATAAACAACATAAAATGTTTTTAAAATAGTCGATTATAATTTTATATTTTTTTCCAGTTTGATATAGTATATTTGAGAATGGAAATGAGGTGAGATTTGGAGAGATTTCTTATAGAGCATGTGATCTACTTGCTAATACAATACGTTACTAATACTTGTGTTATGTGAACAAAAACAAACATTTAAAACCAAAGTATGCAAAAATCATTTATTAAAAACTTGTAGATGATTTTTCTCTTTAATAGAGGTATACATTTGGCTTTGGTAAGCTAATTTCTTTAAAGAATGATTATTCCATGTATCCTAGATTCTAATGATAGCAATAATTATAACAGAAACAACAAAACAATAATGCAGCAATACCAACAAGACAAACAGCCATGATTCTGAAGCAATTATTTTATTATTATATATTAAATATTCTTGAGGATAAACAAATATATTTTAATAAAGTTGCTCTTGCTTTTAGTTATTTTTAAATAATTATTATTCATTTGGTTTCAAAATAGTATTACAATTAATGATTTAATAATAGGTTCTTGTGGGGTTTTTCAGGCTATAGAGCCATGTTCTAGAGGCATTTCTCCTGACGTTTCGCCTGCATCTATGGCAAGCATCCTCAGAGATAGTGAGGTCTGAGGATGCTTGCCATAGATGCAGATGAAACGTCAGGAGAAATGCCTCTAGAACATGGCTCTATAGCCCGAAAAAACCCACAAGAACCTAGTGATTCCAGCCATGAAAGCCTTTGATGATTTAATAATAGTTTTCAGAATTATGCTTTTAATTAACTGCTTTCATTTTCTTTCTTCAATTAGTAAAGTACAGTCATATATTTCCATTAGATCCACAAAGGGATTTGCTACTAAGTTTTACTATAAGTAAACTAATAATGAATAAGTCTATGGTTTGTCAAGTGGGTTGTTAAGCAGTCTGTGCTCATATAATACTCAATACCCATCAAGATTCTTTGATGCAATGCATAGATTTATTTCTACTGCTTGCATAAGGTAAATAAGGGTTTGCCATTCATCAATTTATTTCCTACGACTATAACTATTACTGCCACTATAATTACCATTATAAGTCATCATCATATGTGATCATTTGTGGCTGAGCATGATTGTCTTCCAAGGGCAGAGTCTTGGTAATGGGCCCATAAGTGACTGTAGATATCTATTCCAGATCTGCAATCTGCATAGTCATTCACAGTGAGGTCATATATTTCCAAATGCTTGTTGCACCTTCCTCTTTGCACGTTTCTCCCTTTCACCTCTTCAAAATCCTTACCACTGTTGTCAACAGCTAACCAGCTAAAATGCTGGAGGGCCAGGGCTTTCTTGCTCTTGGCATTTATTCCACTTCTCTTTTCCTGTCCACCAACATTCCACTTTCCATTGAGCTGAGAGTAGCGTAACTGCATTGGGAGACTATGATCAAGTATTCAGACAATGTAGCCAGTCTAGCAAAATTGATGGCAGAATGATTGTGGTCTTTGCTTCTTGCAGAACACTAACATTTGTCCACCTTTCTTCCCAAGAGATTTGTAGGATTTTTTCAGAGGCAACAATGATGGGATTGTTCCAGAAGTCAAGAGTGACATTTGTAGACAGTATACAACAGAGTCGGAAGAACAATAGCTTTATAAACAAGCATCTTGGTATATTCATGAATGTTCCAAGCCTCGTTCACTCTCTGCATCATTTGAAATAAATGCTGCACTTGCAAAACTCAGACAGTGTTGAATTTTGGCATTAATGTCAACTTTTGAGGAGAGGTGGGTATCTATGTAGTGGAAATGGTCAACATTTTCTAACATTACACATTTAAATTTTATTGCTGGCATTGCAAAGGGGTTGGTTGATGCCTGGTGGTAGAGCACTTTGGTTTTCTCAATGTTCAGTGAGAGGTCAAGTTTTATATGCTTCTGAAAAGATGTTTAACATAGCCTGTGGGTCTTCCTCTAAATGAGCACAGACTATGTTGTCATTAGCATTATGAAGTTATATAGCAGAAGTTGTGAACTTAATTTTGACTTTCAGCCTGCCGAGGCTAAAGACCTTGCCATCTGTCCAATAGGTGATTTCCACACCAGAAGCTTCCTGTCAATGAGGTATAGAATCACAGCTATGAAGATGGGGCGAAAACACCTGACATCTGATTCCACCTTAAATGGGTCACTTTGGGAGCTGCTGCTGTCCAAGGCTGTTGCCATCATGTTATCATGGAGGAGCCTCAGGACTTTCACAAATTTATCAGGGCATATGATTTTCAAGAGGATGTTCTATAGAGAATTAGGATTCACAGTTTCAAAGGCCTTTGCAACATCAATGAATTGCATGTACAAAGGTTGATTTTGTTTCCTGCCTTTTTCTTGGAGCTGCCATGCAGTGAAAATCATATCCACTGTTCCTCTGGAGGGGTGGAATTCAAGAAGGATATCTTCTGGAATTCTTGTGAGAATTTTCCCGGTAGAGTTTAAAAGAGTCCCCACAGTCTGTAGTTCTCACAGTCTATAGTTCCCACAGTCTGTTCTTTCTCTCTTTTTGAAAAGGGCAATAATGATGGCATCCTTGAAGTCCGCTGGGATCTTCTCTGTCACCCACACTTTTTGAATGAGCTTATGGAGTTGTGTCATCTCACGCCCACCTACTTTAAAGATTGCAGCTATTATTAGTGCTACATACTATTAGTAGTACTAATAAAACAGTACTGATATGAATACAGGCCATTTCATAGCCCCACACAATAAAATATTTCTCCTCCCACTAAATAGTGGCTTGCAATTAATCTAACTGTTTATTAACTATAATGATGAAGACAATGAAGCCCTTATAAACACTTGAACTGCATATAATGAACTGTATTATGTATGTCTTCAACAATGCAATTTCAAACTGCATCTTCTTCTTTTATTTATACCACAGTTTTTCTCTCCACAAAGTAGACTCAATGTGGCTTATGTTGAAAGCATTTTAGTACAATTTAAAATTTCCAAATATATGAACTTTTAAACAAAATTAAATATTAATGGTCTTAAAAAATTCACTTAAAACCCATAAAACTGATTTAAAACATATGTAAAGCTGAAACCACAGCACCCCTGACTTGATCTTAAAAACATTCTTCATTAAAAGCCTGCCTGAATAAAAAGATTTTAGCCTGGTGGTGAAAAAACAACAGGGAGGAAGCCATTCTTGTTTCCCTGAACAGCAAGTTTGAGAGATCAAGGGCAGCCATTGAGAAGGCCTACTCTCTGATTCATTCCCACCAAACGAGCTTGTTATCGTAGGACCAAGAGAAGGGCATACAGACAGATGTTAAAAAACAAGGTAATAGACTTGGAGTCATTCAAGCAGAAGGACAGGCCCTTGCGCCATTCCCAAAGAGGCAAACCCCCTTTGGTGAGGACCCAGCCTCTGGAGGGAAACAGGCATTTTTGGTGGGAGTCCAAAAAACTTTGGATTCAATCAGGGCCTCCAGTCCTTTGCAACAGGAGGTAAGGTCTGAGACAGCCCATAACAAACAAAAACTGCCTCTTTCTTCCTGCTGATGTTCCTTCTGGCTCTTCTGGATGGTGCTGTGTCCACAGCAATGTTGATTAGGCCACAGTTTTTTATGATGCACTAACCTTTCTATGCCTTCTTTTTCTTGCCAAAATGTGAGTGGCAAGAGGGAATTTTTCCCCATTTCCCATTGCTTGGATAGAGTTGCCATTCTTTGAATTGGATGTAAGAATTCCACATTCATAGCATTGTGTGTGTATGTGTGAGAGTGTGTGTCCAATACATAAGAAACCATTCTATTTTTCTTTGTGCATATATCTCACTTTTTCAGGAGAATTTAATTTTTTCAAATATACTCAGCTTCCCATTTTGTGTTAACATTTCTCAATTGCACTTCAATCCAAAAACTTCCCATGTGATTTCAGTATTATTTTCTGAATTTTGTAAACTAAAAAAATCACCTCCATTTAAGAAAAGTAATGACAAAAATATAAAAACAATATCTGATATTATTTCAGTTACTGACATTTTTAAAGTATATTTTTCCTGAACAAAACTTAAAATACATACCGAGAATTGAAGCTACACAGGTCCCTCCATTCTGACAGTAGTTGCTACAGTGGTTAGTCTCACATCTTTCCCCTGAATAACTTGGCCAACAGTAACATCTTGGATCACCTTTTTCGTTTATAACACATCTTCCTCCATTTTCACAAGGCAGCTTACATGTCTCATCTGTACTTAATACATAATCATATAGATAAAATTCTTACAATTGTTAATCAAAGCCTTGAAAAAAATGAGCTAAATAATCGCAAAGTTGATACAATATTGAAATGCAGCAAACTGTTAGTACAGTGGAAGGTTTAATAAATTACTACAGTTGTTACTGTTGCATATGTAATTCATAACCAACGTCACAACATGTGTTATAGAACTTCAGTATGTTGATTATAGTTTGTGCTCATTCAGAAGACCTACAAGTCACTCTAAACACCCTTGCAGAAGCATACGGAAAGCTTGGCTTCTCACTGAACATTGAGAAAACCAGTGCTCTATCAGCAGGTATCAATGAATGCCTCTGCCATGGCAAAAATATTGCTTAATGGTGTAACGTTAGAAAATGTTGACAATTTCCAATACCTTTACAGCCACCTCTCCACAAAAATCAAAATGAATACTGAAATACAACACTGTCTGAGCTTTGTGAGTGCCACATTTTTTTAATGAAACAGAGAGTGTTTGAGGATTAAGACGTTTGTAGGGATACCAAGATGATTGTTTTAAAGCTATTGTCCAACCCTGTTATACACCTGTGAAACAGATGTCACATTCAACTTCTAAAACAATTCCATTAGCATTGTCTGTGAAAAATCCTGCAAACCTCTTGGGAAGACAAGTGGACAACTACCACCATGCTGGAAGAAGCAAAGACCACCAGCACTGAACTGATAATCCTTCATTATCAACTTCACTGGACTTACCACATTGTTTGAATGCCCTATTACCGTCTCCCAGAGCAGTTACTATACTGTCAACTCAAGAATGGAAAACAAAATGTTAGTGGGACAACAAAAGAGATTTAAAGATGAGTTTAAAGCTAAACTTTAAAACTGTGGCATAGACACTGAGAACTGGGAAGCCCTGGCCCTCGAGTGCTCTAACTGGAGGTCAGCTGTTACTAACAGTGCTGTGGAATTTGAAGAGGCACAAAAGGAGGTCAAAAGGAAAAAAATGTCAAGAGGAAGGCACGTCAAGCCAACCCTGACTGGGACCACCTTCCATCAGAAAACCAATGTCGTCATTGTAAAAGAACATGTGGATCAAGAACAGGTCTTTACAGTTACCTATGGACCTACCACCAAGACCCTACACTTGGAAGGCAATCATACTCAGCCATGAGTAATAGCATAGGATGATGTCTGGAAAATGATGCATATTAACAGAATGTGGAAAGATCTGTGATTTTCCAGTTATCTAAGAAATTATTTTTCACTATCCACAAAAAGAAAACCAGTTCATTATTTCCTAGGAAGCAATAATTCAGAACCCTGCTTTTTCATATGCTGGGATATGAATCATCATGTGAAGCAGGAGGGAAAGAGAATTCAGAGTTATTTTTTCCAAGTATTTTATTTTATTTTAAAACAGGTTTTCTGGAAGTGTAGAAACACCATTAGGAAGAATAATTGAACAGCAAAACTTTTTCACAATTTTTATCCTGACATTTAGAATCCCAATCGGCACATAATCTTTTCTACATTGAAGGATAGGTGTTGTTTTCCTGCAACTGGGATGAGAACAAAAATCAAAAACAAAAACCCTTTCTCTACAGAGTAATTCTTGTCTAACACTGCAGAAACTTTAAATAAGGCGAGAATGTTGCAGATGAATATTAATTTTCTCCCACAGCTGGCAGAAAACTATTTTTATTATTTATTCTTGTCTGTGGCACCATCGCTAATGTGAAGTAATAATTCAGGAAATCTAACAAAAATATACATAAAGCCCTTTCATGAACAGTATATTTCTTCAAAGTTTTAAAATGTTGGTCAAAATAGCAATACAAAGATTTTGCTTCCTATCATTGTTAAATTTCATTATTGACAGCTTTCATGTGAGGAATGGACATACTTCCTGAACTGATTAAAATAATGCACCTCAGCCTCATGCATGTGAAACAATGATGAGCTTGTACAGATGGCTGGGGAACCTTCAGACCGTAGACATACCCTGGGCCACAAAAGTTCCTCTTCTTTGCAGCTGTGGACAAGTCTACATAGGGACCACCAAACGCAGTGCCCAAACACGAATCAAGGAACATGAAAGGCACTGCAGACTACTTCAACCAGAGAAACCAGCCATAGCAGAGCACCTGATGAACCAACCTGGACACAGCATTTTATTTGAGAATACAGAAATGCTGGACCACTCTCACAACCACCATGTCAGACTACACAGAGAAGCCATTGAAATACACAAGCATGTGGACAATTTCAACAGAAAGGAGGAAACCATGAAAATGAACAAAATCTGGCTACCAGTATTAAAAAAAACTTTAAAATTACAACAGCACAACAACAGAGAGGGAGCAAACAAGGACATCTAATCACCTCTCAACAAAAGTTTGCTCCAGGCACTGCCAGGCAATCAAATGCTAATCAAGGTCAGTTGAAACATTCACACCCAGCTCCTGCAGTCCCTTGTCCCACCCTGGTCATTCCACAGATATAAACCCTTTTTCCTAGTTCCAACAGACCTCACTACCTCTGAGGATGCTTGCCATAGATGCAGGCGAAACGTCAGGAAAGAATGCCTCTAGACCATGGCCATATAGCCCGAAAAAACCTACAACAACCCAGTGATTCCGGCCATGAAAGCCTTCAACAATACATCAATTCAACATAGTTTGTGGTATCCATAAAAAAATGAAGCTTCTGGAGTATAACAACTGTCTTCAAAGTAAGTATCACACAGTTAAGCAGAAAATAAGACTTTCAAACAAGGAACAGATTTTTTTTTTCAAATTGTTATTGAATGTTCCCTAAAAGTAATACTTTAGTCAGCTCTGTAGGTGGTGCCAATGAAATCTCTGAGACTCTGAAAAAAAATGTTGTTTGGAGCAGAAAGAGTGGTTGATAGCAAGAGTGTAACTGCTGAGATAATAAAGACTATGTGAGATGAAATAACATTATGACTCTCCTTATCTTTTTGTCAAGAGGTAAAGATTTACATTTAACTACTAAGCATCATCATACAGAAGGAGTGGTTTCTAACTACAATGAGACTTGTAGTATGAACATTAATTTAGAAACCATCTGTAATGAATCCCTTACCTTGGCAAGCTAGCTTAGGCCTAGGAGAGTGGGCCTGGTGAAGCCATGGCATCCATTTTGGGGAAGAGAGACAGAGAGATGCCATCTTAGGTTAGGTTTGCCTTAAGGGGGCATGTTCTAGTTTGGAGGGAAAGCTAGAAGGCTATAATTGGTTAAGAATATGGGGGTGGAGCCTAAGTGATCTGAAGGGAAAAAGTGACTTTTCAACTGAGGCTTGAGTTCCCAGATTGCCAGTTGGAGCTTGGAAAGGTTGAGCGAAGAAGGGTGTTAGTGAGTGCAGTTTGGGTTAGTCTTTTGGATAGCATTCAGTATAGCTATAGAAAATATAGCTAGAATACTGTGTGGAACAGAACCCCATTAGCAGTCAGTTCTTTTTCTTAAGGAAGGCTAAGTCCAGTTTTGGCTAGTTTCCTAAGTGTTTTTTTTTGTGGGAGTTACCTTCAGAGATTCATTTCCTGAGGTAATTTTCTGTGCTGTAACTTTTAAGACTTGAAACCCAGAAGTTTTTAAGATCTCTTTTCAAACATAACCACAAGCTTTTTGATACCAGAACTTTACTGAAACCATCAAGCTTTTGTACCTGAAATATTCAAGTCTGTTCAAAATAAAGTTCTTGTTATTTTTATCAACTTACATCAGCCTCAGAGTGAATACCTTTGTGGTCAAAGTGTTATTAAAGTCCATAGTGACACAGAGTGTGATACTATGATAATTGGTAGGCAGGGGTTGGATCGTATAACATCTTAATCCAGTGGTTTTTGAGAAAATCCTGAGGTGAATTTTGTCCAAAAACCAACTGACAGAATTTACCTCAGAGAAAGAAAGCTAAAACAGACTCCATTTTGTAAAACCAGCAGCCACACTGGCACCTCCCAAAGCCAAAAAGGTTGTGTCTGTGTGGAGTTAGGGGTTACTTTCAGGGAAAAAATCATGTCAGTAATCTCTGGAGGGAGAAAGGAGTTTTATTTGTAATCAAGTTGGGAACTTCTTAAAGAAACCACATGCTTTTAAGACAATATTTCAATCCAACTAAGCTTAATACCTATTTTGTTCAAGTTCTCTTAAATAAACATCATTGTTTTATTGTTCACAACATCTGCCTCATGTGTGCCTCTGTGTAAGAACTTTTAAAAGCAATCTACTGAAGAAGTTGAAAGTTTAATGGTGGCAGCATATATTTTAAAGAATAAATCCTTTCAGTGTTACCTCAGTGCACAGGCCTGAGTGTGAATACAGAACATTCTAGCTAAAGATACCTGTAGTAAGCCAAGGGCTTAACATTGCTTATAAGTTTGGAAGGTGCCAGAGATCTTTCAAAAAGTTTTCCGGCCAGAAGAAAGTTCCAGCTTCATTGCAGTTTTTTGATTTTGGGTTTTAATTACCTAAGGCCACATTCCATTACAAGTGGTGCACAGCGTTTGGGATTTTATACCCCCCAATAAAGCCTCCATCCATTATACCATCAACACCAAAGGAGACATATTTGTCTTGTTTAAGAAAAACCTATGAAATCCATAGTGTCATCATAAGGAGAGAGGATATTTGAAGGCAAACACACGTGTCCATACAAAAGACTCCAAAGCTGCAACCATGATTCAGGATGTCTGTTCCAATTTCAAGGGCTACATCTGTTCAGCTTTTGGAAACATACAAATTTAGAGAAGGAGATGGTGTTTGTAGTGACTTTTCCTGAAAATGCCAAGAGAAGCAAATCGTTTTTCAAAACTGCTCTGACAATGCTAAGACTTCTTGACGACATGGCCTACAGCAAGACACATGAGACAACAGTAATTTTCACAGGGCTAAGTTTTGCCAATACAGTTGACCCACTTCTTTGAATTGGATCATTTAGAAGCCATGAAAAGAAGATTTCAGTGCTATATGCTTGAAAGCCTACTTCGTAAAAGAGAGGTAAGAAATTGCAACTGAAGGGGAAAATGCAGCTACCAACAAGAGAAATGTAATTGCAGAATAAGTAGTAATTCCAGAACAGTAGAAACTCATTACTAAAAAATGTATCCCTTACAGATTGATAAGTTCCAATTATGCTACTGCAGTTGCATTGATGAAAAGAAGCTGAATGGAAAAAAGAATAGATCTTCCTAGACACAAAGCTAGCATTTTATTCAGCAATTAAGAGACTGTAAGATGAATTTAATTTCTTGTAACTTCTGGGGATTTACAATACGACATTAATTATGGAATATAACCTTCAAAACCCAATGTTTCAGCCCTGACCAAAATATTTTTCATGTGCTGCAGATTGAGGTAATGGGGAAATGATGTCTGTAGGACTCTCCTGATCACAGAGAAAAGCAATTGTGAAAGAAACTTCACGAAACTCTCTGGAAGTCTGTTTTTATGCCAATGTCATTTCACAATTACATAGGAAGTCCTTCCAATGCAACACTGCCAGGCTATAAAAACTAGACTTTTTTTGTGGTGGCGGTGGGGGAAGTGGTATTGTCAGCTGTCTCTATGATGATAGAGCTCTGTCATCATAGTCATGTTGGTAAAGCAGGATCTTGGTGACATATTAGAAAAGAGTTGGGCTTCTATGGAAATTTACAGTTAGCTCTGAGAAGATTCAGAAAAATCTATAATTATTAAAGGCAGAGGCCATAAAGCATGTCAATAACCTAACACTTCACTCAGACTGTCAGTGTGGAGGGAGAATCAGGTAAATTGCTTTTAAATGATTTTTCATCCCTAATGTGAATAATGCAATACCTGATTTGTCTGGGCCATTTTGAAATTTATATTGTGGGGGATGGGGGAGGAAGACAGAATGAAACTATCAAGAATTGTTCAAATTCACAACCTCAGATTGTATAAGGTAAACCCAAGAAAAACAGTGAATACCCTTTGTTACCATTCTGTGAATTCATTCAATTTTGAAGATTTTTCTAAAATGTGTAGCTTCCTGTAATTTGCATAACTTTTCACACTGAGTTCATTCATTTATTTCAGCACAGAACTGTTATAATCTAAAGTAAATTAATACAGATTTGGAAAAGAACAGTATAGGTAGTTCCTGGGTCAGGAACAAGTTATGATCAAAATAGATTGTATAGGTTTTATTTAAAAGTTGAATTTGTGTGGAAGTTGAACAGATACGTTTTTAAGTTTAACTCCAGCTGATTTTTTAAACTTTTGGCTAGAATAGGGAAGGGTTAACACCCTTCTAACATTTATTTCACTGTTTGTGCCCCTATTCAGAAGATTTCACTTCACTTTCTGGAGCCCCCAGTGGTGCATTGGGTTAAACCCTTGTGCTGGCATGACTGCTGACTGAATCTGGAGAGCAGGGTGAGCTCCTGTCTGCCAGCTCCAGGCAATACTGCAAAAGGCCTGGCATATGCATCAGATGCAAGGCCCATGGGACAAATTCAGCTCACTGCATCATTTTATGTGGTCTGCAAGGCTGGTGTTCCTGCACCCAGGCCCATCTAGCATGTTTCTAACTAGGAGCCAGGCATGTAGCTGGGGGGGGGGGGCTTGAGAGGCTTCAGCCCCCCCCCAAATTTTTTCATAGTAGTTCGTGAAAAGGCATTATTTAAATTATAAATATTATTTATTCATATCATGATCTGATCACCATACTCAATATATCCCATATGCATGGGGGTATTGGGGTAATGATACAAAAGGTTTGCTAGGGTAGACCCTCTTTCACTCAGACTCAGCCCCCCCCCCGAAACTCAGCCCCCCTGAACCCCCCACTGAAAAAACTCAGCCCCCCCCCCAAATCGAAATCCTGGCTATGGGTCTGCTAGGAGCCATATGTAGGTTTGATGTTTGTAACTAAGGGGCTGTCTGTAAAAATGAATAGCTTTATACTCTTGTGTTTATTTATATTTTATTTCAGTAAATTAAAATACCCACCTAAAATGCTCAAATCACTGCATGTTCCATTAATCAATGATTTTCCTTCTTGACACACACAAGCTGCACCTGAAGGATTGAGTAAACATAGGAACTCACAGGTGAGCTCCAAACAAGGATTGAGGGCTGTTTGAAGAAAAAGACAAAAAAGACAAAACATAAATTACATTATTTCTCAATCACATACATGGCCAAAAAAGAAAAGAAGAAAAGGAAGCAAGTAAAGGGAAATTATTTAGGTCAGGTTAGTTTAAATACTCTTTTGTGTTGGTTGTGTGATCAAAGATTTTGGATCCCATAGTCTAGATTCCTCCCATGTGTTCATTCCTCAACCATAACCTTTTTTTCCTTTTAGATGCTTGAACTCTGACATAATAAATCTGAGGAACATATATATTTTTGCAGGGGTATCTCTGACCAGATTTCTTACTTTGCAGTTAGGATATTGTCTCCTGTTTCATTCTACATAGGATGCTGTCCTGGTGATCAAGAACTGCATATGCATATGAAATTATCAATTTTTCAAATTTCATAAATAATTCTGTTGGTGTTATGTTTCATAACACTAAAATTATCATAAAGTAATCAGGATCAATATTACTTTAAGAAAAATATTTTAAAATGGCAAATTATGTTTTCCAGAGTTTCCAGGGCTTTTTTTTTGGGGGGGGGGCAGAGGACTTCCCCCCTCCTCTCAAAAATGAATGAGACAGGAAGGAGATCTGGTGGGCTTAAATCATCAGCCAACGCCCTAAAGCACATGTGTTAGGTGCAAGGCCCATGGGCTAAATTCAGCTCACCAGATCATTTTATGTGTTCTGCATGGTTTGCAAATCTAGAGCAACATAGTTACATTTATACAGTCTTACAAATGGCTCTTTGAAGACAGATATAAGGCTGATGTGGCCCTCGGTGAAAATGAGTGTGACACCCCTCCACTAGAGGTTTCTAGGTTGTGTTCTCTTCTTTGGATGTTTATAATACAGGAAGAAGCCTGGAGGAGAATTTCTCCTTGAGGCCTCTGTTGCCCTATTAGAGCATTTGTGTACTGACATTTCCCCCCTCTCAACTGGAAAGAAGGTAGGTAGATTATCTATCTATCTATCTATCTATCTATCTATCTATCTATCTATCTATCTATCTATTAGGCCTGAGTAACAACGGAAAAAATTGTTTCTAAAATCGATTTGTATTTGGGGGTTTTTTTGTTTCGATATTTAAAATAATTACAAAATTTTCCCTTAAAAAAGTTCGGTATTTACGAAATTTCGTAAATGTGAAAAAATACAAAACATTAACGAATCGATTTCCGAAACAATAACGAATCGATTCGTTAATGGCGGACGCGACCGCGAAATACGCTAAAAAACCTCCAAAAACTGAAGCTTCCCTCTCCCTCTGTTGTTGACTGTTGGTGTGATATTATAATTTTTTTTCACTAATTAAACAAAAAACTTGCCCCAGACATGCGGAAATAATAACGAAACGACCTCAGAACAATAACGAAACGAATACAATAACGAAATACGAAGCATTTACAAAACGTGTTTAAAAATTTGTTTTTTTAAAAAATTGCTCCAGAATGGTTCGTTATCGTTTTGTAATTGAAAAAAATAACAAATTATTAACGAATTACGAATTAACGAAATGAAACCGCCCAGCCCTACTATCTATAGAGAGAGAATGAATGAGAATAACTTGTATATCAGATTGTACAACACAATATAAATGTAATATTTACACACAATCACAAAAACATTCTGAATGTTTTAAAAATTATATTTTTCTACATTTCCTCTCAGCAAATTTATAGATCCTACAGATAAAACAAAATAATGATGACAATCTTTAGTGTAGCATTGTGGAATGCTAATGTATTTTTAAATAAAGGCTCTAAATTATCCTTAAATTGCTAGCAGCAGTGATCTGAGCATAACATACGCTGTATAATCCAATGAATGAATACAATGTTTGTATATGTTCTGACTAAATCTTCCCCATCTCTTTGTTATACTCTATAATTTTGGAAAATAATACTTGTTCATACTTTTTATGTGACCCTGCAGAGCCTAGTATTGACCACTCATATTCTTGTGTCATCCTATAGCTGTCTCCCTGCAGTAATTGATGCCAAACAACACTTCTGATGAGTACTGAAAACTTTTTAACACAACTTTTTCAGTGTGTCTCTCAATGAGCAGAAAAATTGCTCCTTCAACAATACATTGTTCCTTCACTTCTCAATTGAAGCTACGTTGAAAAAGAATGCAGAGTTTATCTGTATTAGAACAAAATTGATGCATAATCAACAGTAAAATAAATGTGCATTGCAAGTTTAGTCTTTTGATCTACCAGTTCAATCAATTCAATTCTTATCTGTGAGGAAACATTTAAAACATGACTCCTTCCATAATTTTTAAGTACTTCTTGGGAAAAGCATCAATAAGGTACAATATCCCAATGTAATTTTCATTGTGGTGTTTTTGCTTTATGTTGTTAAATTGACTATAAGTTGTGGCGATCCTGTGAATGAGAGCCCTCTAAGATGTGGCAAGTACAGAGCTATGGCTTCCTTGATTGAGTCAAACCCACATGTAATGTTGTTCTCCTTCTTTTGCAACTTTTTTTTACTTTACTTAGCATTTTTTCCCAAGAAGTGATGTCATGATATGCCCAGTTTCGTATTTTTGCTTTTTAGGGACAGTTGAGATTTGATTGGTTCCTGGGACTCATCTATCTGTCCTTTTAGCTGTTTTGAAATCCATAGAATTCTCTTCCATTAACACATTTCAAAAGAGTTTCCTCTGTCCTATCAGTTTTCTCGTTCATATAAAGAAATATTATGACAGACGCTATACGGAACATGGCATTCAATAACACATTGCACTTTGGAAATCCATTGTGAGATGATCTTAGTTTGAAATAAAACAGAGTTATGATATATTAATTAAAATGTCAGCTAATTCCCAACTGTAAATTGTGCTCAGTTGTACTAGCAGTAGTATTCTCAGATGCTTCACATTCTCTGTATAATCCAAACAATAACATAAAATGTTTTGGTTATTACTGAAGAATTTAAGTTATTTTCTATAACAATGATCAGAAAAATAGCAATATGCTTCATTGTTTCTTTCCAGTGCTTAATTTTTTCATAAACAAGGCTTGGGAAATGTTTCTCCTTTCTTCTTGCTTTGCTCTTCCATGAAATCTAGGCCATAATACTTTTCAACATGGAATGCCATTTTTGTCCTTTTTGATTCTTCTCCATATTTGTTTTCAACATGATAAAACCTTCTTCTACAAAAATATTTTCTTTCTTCTGGAAGAGTAAATATATTTGTGGCCATAACAACCACTTATTGAAAAGTTTCTCCATATTGTAAACACTCTTACAAAGCAGGAGGATTAAAAATAGAGAACTGATTTTAAATATATTCTTTTCTTGCTGAAAACTCAAAATTTTAACAAATATGAAAATATTCAGAACTTCTACTGATATCCACATAAAAAAATGTAATCTGCTGGTCGTCTGTTAGATGTAGGAAAGTATCTTCCTTGGTCTTGGAATCTGTGAATACTGGGTCAACAATATGTGATTGATTTTGAAAGTAAAATCCCTGAGAAGATACAAAGTCTTATCTGAAGCATGTTAATATGTTTTCTGAGACAGAGGACATTGGATGGAAAGGTCTGGGTTGTTTCTTTCTTGATTTTAGGTCAGCTTCTTTGCCTCTCTTTTAGCACAGAAACTTCCACCATGGTGGTGACACTTATGATATGTGTATAAGGATTATAAGTCCAGTATGTGTGGTCAAGATGTGTTCAATCTTACATTTCTGAAATAGAGAAACAAGGAGAAAGTATTAAATTAATGCCACAGTGTTCCAACTTAAGTATACATCATTTGCAAGACAATCTGCTAATTCTGATGAAGACTATTTAGAGGACATAATTTATATTCTACATAGTGAATATTAATCAACCATCTATTTGAATGTCACATATTTACAGAGGGAACTCACAAGATAGGTGGGTCATTAGATTCTATGTACAACTCCAACATAGTAAAAACACTAGCTAGGTCAATGGGCATATTTGGAATTTTGAGAAAATGGCATGAATATTGCCACAAAAACGCTGCCATGAAGATAGTAGGGCCAGCCACAAAATGACTGCTATGGGGTGTGAGCAGTCCCAATATTCATGATTGCAACAAAGCATGCATTTCAAGAAAGTTAATGAAAGGTAAATATGGGATTTATAAGCCACAAAATACAATGGAATTCCATTGAATCCAGAGTCTTCTATTTTAACATATCAGTTTCACAGAAAACTTTCCCCAAACCAACAATAAATAAAACATACAATGCATATCCACATGCATACACTAGATCCTTCATTTCTCTCCCTTCCCAAATGAATACCCACCTTCCCTTCTTCCATTGGGATGCAGTTGTCAGTCTCCAGTACCCATCTTTCCTCCAAATTAACGTGCTTTCCGGCTGATAGTGTCGAGTTAGAACTGATGTTGTTTCTTCCCTTTCCTTCTTTCAGTTGATGCTGCCCTAAGTAGAACTGTTCTTTTATTCCCAGTTTGCTTTCTCATTGGAAAGGAGAATGTTTTGTCTAGTCTTTCTCTGTCTTCTGTTCATAATACCCCCTTCTAAATCTGTGGCCATTTGAATAGTTGAGGACCTAAGAGAACTCTATCAGTAAGAGTTAAGAAGGAATTTATAGAGAGCAGAAAACTTGGAGCATGTTCTACTAGAGACTGCATAGAGGACACTATATGTAAGTTAAATGTAGCATAGTGGTTATAGTCTTGGACTGAGTCAGAAAACCCAGGTTTTATTCCAGTCTTGGATGATTCTGAGCTAGTCACTAATTCAGGCTAGCAGATCTTATAAACTATTGTGAACACAAAATGGAGTTGAGGAAGAAAACTGTACAAACTACTTTGTGGTTCTTGAAGGGGGAAGGGATCTAAATATAAATATAATTTATGACATACTTGTGTTTTTGTTCTGAGAACACCAAATTATGTAATTTCTCTTACAGTTTGAATTATTCCTCTCCTATAGCCACATCTCTAGATTCCATGTAGAGAAGGAATAAGCAAATAAAGGAGGCATTCTATATTTCATGGTGTGTTTCTCTCTGTGTTAAAATTATATTTAAAGCATTTAGAAATAGAATTTGATTCAATAAGACTATTGCTGTATTTTATTTTGAAGACTTTCACAATTGGCTTTCAATGGTGTCTATAAATAGGTGATCACTTGATGGGTAGTTTATTGAGAAAAGTAGAGTATGGTAAACATGTTCCACATCCACTTAATGGAGAGGAGGCCTCTGTATCTGCCTCTTTAGTTTGAGGGTTGAGGAAGGATCTTTAGGGATGACCTGACAGCTGCTCTCTCACTACCTCAGGTTTGCTTTCTATGATTAGGCTGGCTAAGAAGCAACATAGCTTTTAAGAAAAGCAGTTGTTTGGGGAAAAAATCCTTCTGATGGAGATATGTTTTTTAAACATTATTTTCAAACTGAATAGATTTGTTAGTGACATTCTTTGATATCTAGAAAATACAACAAAAAGACTATGGATTTAAAAGACATTTAATTAAAATACTTCAGCAGTTTTTCTTGAAAATTACATTATTACCAATCCAAAACTAAGATTATCTTAATTAAAAGACAATGTTTCCAGGGTTATAACTACTATGAAATAACAGAACCAGTTAATTAAAATCTTTAAAGATTGAAAAACAAATCCTTATGGGATATTTGATCTTGCTTCGTGAAGATACCTCAAAACAAATAATATTTAGTGCCTTAATGCTTGCAAGTGAACAGGCACCAATGCTTTTACAAAGTAATTAATCAGAGTGGGGAGTCTAGATAATGCCTGCATTTTGTTTCACCTCTCTGTCTCTGTCTTTGGTCTAGGTGCTCAAGCCATTTCCTTTCTTCTTACCTGTAGAGGTCAGTTTCCCATTCTTGAAGAAGTTAATCTTTTCATTTTGTCTGCGAAGGAGCATCCATGGCTCCTCAATCCCCATAATGGCTGCTAGCTTGTATTCCCTTATGAGAACCAGCTATTTAAGGCTCTTCTAATGAAATACATGTCAATTTCTTTTGTCTATCTCTTTCCTTACTCTAAAATGGATTTCCCATGACAATAAACAAATGTCTTTTTGTACCTTACAGAAACACCCAGAATAATTATTCTCTTTCTATTACAAGCTCATATTGCACTAGCTCTGCTACACTCTACATCAGGGGTCCTCAAACTTTTTGAACAGGGGGCCAGTTCACTATCCCTCAGACTGTTGGAGGGCCGGACTATAGTTTACACGGGAATATTGTGAAACATTTGTTTTATATATTGTGAAACATTTATTTCAAATTACAAATAAATGAAATTTTGACTTCAAGCATGTTGTGGCATGGGTAACAGGTTTACTATAACAGCAGAAACCCATGAATATGTTTACTGACCAGCCTATCAGCCAAACTCCCATGACCTCTTGTCATGGGAGTTTGGCTGATAGTTTGTGGCAGCCACACAAAGTTTCTGGATGAGAACTACTACATTCAAAGTAAGGGCCGCACAATTAAACAGAAAATAACACTTTCAAACCAGGAACAGATTTCTGTTCTACATTTTTTATTATGTTTTTTTATACATCACTTTTGTCTCCACAAGGAGACTGTGGGCCTTTCCAGATGCCCTATATCCCAGGATCTGATCCCAGGTTTTCTGCTTTAAACTGGATTATATGAGTCTGCACTGCCAGACAATCTGAGTTAAACAGAAAACCTAGGATCAGATCCTGGGATATAGGGCCTGTCTGAAAGGGCCCTTCCAAACAGCCATATAACCCAGAATATCAAGGCAGATAATTCACAATATCTGCTTTGAATTGCATTATCAGAGTCCACACTACCATATAAGCCAGTTAAGTGTGGATTTTATACAGCTGTGTGGAAGGGGCAAAAGCAGCTTACATTTCAATAAAATTTTAAATCTAAAAATATATGAAACATTACAATAGAATTAAACATCATTGCTATTCTTTAAAACAGGCATGGACCAGCTTGGGCCCTCCTTGTGTTTTGGACTTCAGCTTCCACAATTCCTAACAGCCAGTAGTGGGAGTTGAAGTCCAAAAAAATAGGAGGGCCCAAGCTGGCCCATGCCTGCTTTAAAGATTAAATGGAAAGCTATCAAAACACATTCAAAGCTGAATAGCCCAGCAGCCCCTCACTATTATGTTTTGTGTGATTATGTTTTGTGTGATTTTTGTTTTGTATTTTAAGTTAAATGTGCTTTGAGTTGTATTGTGAGCTGCTGTGGGTCCCTTAGGAAGAGAAGCAGGGTATAAATCAGTGGTTCTCAACCTTTGTCATGCAGTGACCAACAGAATATACTGGAGGGGTTTGGGGAAAAGAGACCCTGACATTTGGGAATTGCAGATCTGAGGATTTATAGTTCACCAGCCATCAAAGAGCATTCTGAGCTCCTCCAAAATTGATCTGAACCAAACTTGGCATACTGAACTCCCATGACCAACAGAATATACTGGGGGGGGGGGGAGATTATCTAGTCCAGCCCCTTCTTTCTGCCAGGCAGGAAGATAGCATTAGTATATTATTATTATCATCATCATCATCATCATCATCATCATCATCATCATCATCATTATTAGACATACAATTCCCAAAGGTCCTCTAGTCCAGCCCCATCCTTCTGACAGGCAGGAAGATAGAATTAAATTATTATTATTATTATTATTATTATTATTATTATTATTAAGTATTATAAGACTCATACAATTGGAAGGGAGCCCCAAGGGTCATCTAGTCCAGCCCCTTCCTTCTGCCAGGCAGGAAGATAGAATTAGATGATGATGATCATCATCATTATTATTATGATTAGACATACAATTGGAAGGGAACCCCAACGGTCATCTAGTCCAGCCCCTTCCTTCTGCCAGGCAGGAAAATAGAATTACTGCAGGAGCAACAAGAGCAACAACAACAACAACAACAACAACAACAACAGTCTCCTGATGTAAATTGAAGGGCATTGGACTTGATTTTTGGAGTTGTGGTTTACCTACATCCAGAGAGCACTGTGAACTCAAACAATGATGGGTCTTTACCAAATTTGGCACAAAAACCTGATATGCTGAAAATGGAATACTGGGCTTTGTGTCGCCCTTTTGCCCTGCTGCTGCTGCTACTGTTCTCTCGCCAGCCGGGTGGCTGCGGAGGGCGAGGATGAGGAGGCAGAGCTTAATCTGAAAGGAGGGAAGGAGAGTGCCAAAGGAAAGAAGGAAGAAATGGAAAAGCCAAGAAAGGTAAAGGGAGGGAAGGATGGAATGCAGGCAGGCAGGCAAGCAGATCGGGGCCTTCCTGCCCCCCCCCCCCCGGATGCTCCATCTCCGCCGTGTTCGAGGCAGGGTGCGCCATGGCTGGGGCTGCAGGGCTGGCAGGCAGCAGGAGGCGTGTCTGTCTCTTCACCACGTTACTGATCTTCGGCTGCTCTCCTCTTGCTGCCCTGCTACCTGCTTGGCTGCTGCTGCTGGTCTCCCGTCCGGGGGCAACAGGAGCAACAAGAGGAGAGCGGCCAAAGGCTAGAGCATGGTGAAGAGAAACAGATGCGCCTCCCGCTGCCTGCCAGCCCTGCAGACCCAGCCATGGCGCACCCCACCTCGAACACCCTGGAGCTCTACAGGCAGAGATGGAGCATCCGGGGGCTGGGGGGGGGCAGGAAGGCCCCGATCTGCTTGCCTGCCTGCCTGCATTCCATCCTTGGGGCCTCTGTGCTTGGCTGCCTTCTCACTCCCTCCATTCAGATCCAGCACTTACAGCATATGCGCCTCTGCCTCCCTCTTGCTTCCCAGCCCCAGAGCGGGAGAAAAGCAGCAGCCAGACTGCTATTAGTTTAGCCGCTCCGGCCAGCGGGCCGGATAAATGCAGTAGTCTGAGGACCCCTGCTCTACATAATATGGATATCAAATGTTGGTACAAGAACAGCTTCAAAGAAAGCAACCATTATTACAAATAGATTGTATAGAATAGGGCATAGTGGATCCCTTTCCTCCTCACAATACTATGCCTGAACATTAAATCCAGTGCAAGTTCTTCTGTAGATTCAACAGACAACTTTCTCAGGGCTACAGAAAATTGCTGTTGCATACTAGAACAAGAACAGGACCCTCTAATCATTAATTACACCACACCTTGAATGAAGAAAGAGTCCTTTTTTATTTGAAAAATAACTGGAGCCAATAAAAGAGATGAATGTAAAATAAGCAGAAGTCCAAAAGCAAAAAACCAATTAAAGCAGCAACATAAGCAGTGTCCAAACATAGGAATAATAACAATGTCCCAAAGCTTACAGAAATAATCCAAATGCAATGAATAACCAAAAGCCTTTAAAATAAAACCATGAACAGACTAGCCACTGCTAATCTACTTGAAAAGCCATGAATCCTTAGAGACGAGGCCACATGAAACAGGAATTTCCAGGAGACTTGAGCGTGTTTCCAAACGATGCCTGGTCTAAAGAAAATTCTCTAAGAGCTCAATTAAAGTCCCAAAAACTGGTTCCTACTCCCCCTAGTTTTTGGCCTTAACTTCCGAATTCTTTCTGACCTGCGTAAACATTGGTCCTCTCGACGGTTCTGGCTGATTTTCAGATGGTGACTGGTCTTATCTATCTCCTCATTAACTGCAGCAGTTGTGAAACTATCTTGTAAACTCAAGTCTGGCAGAGGGAGTAAACTTTCTTTCTCGTGAGAACTTAGCCTTTCCCCTGAGCCTTCTCGATCAGAGTCTGCAGTAACCTTATTGCCCAAAGTGTCTCCATTTCGCTCATGCTCATTGATCACCTCAGGTTCACTATCCAAGTCAGACCCAGGCTCAAACACAGGCTGAGTCCCAACAGTTACCTGCATAAAATGATTGAAAGTAGCAAAATGGGACAGGATCAGACATTCACATTACAGTTTTTCAAATTTTATTGGTATCAAAAATAGATAAATACTCACAGTATGTTTGCTTGTAACGATGCAAAATCAAAGTACTTTTTGTCTTATCGATATCCAAATCCAGATATTCTACAGAACCATGGCCAAATTTTTGCACTCTGAATGCACCATTTTTCGGTCCTGCCCCATATATATAATTCTCAAAAATGTCAATTCTGTGAGGATGGAGTAATCCTTAAATGAAAAAAAGGAAGTATGCATAATTTCCTATACAGCTATGAAATATTTCAAAATCACTAAATGAAATATAATAAGAAGTTAAGGTGATACTGCTGCAGTGTTCTAGGGGTCTGTGAAGAAATGTATCTAGAGAGGAAAACCAATATAAAGATGAATAGCAATACAGCATGTATTCCCACAATTTGTAAAGTAACTTCTTGTGAGATAACAAATTAATGATCAGTGCAGAGATTTTGGATGTTTCAGACACCAAATAACACTTTTTGCAAGCATTATGTCTGCAATGTGTGTGTATGAGTGTTATTATAGTGTATTGTCATCCTTACTATGCTACTGACTATACTATCCCTTAGTATACTATAGGTAGCCCTTGTATGAGATGGTCAGAAATCACATTTCCTACATTGCTATAGTATGTGTTTTAGGCTTGTCTATAGGGCTTTATAATGATACAGAGCCCCCAATTTGTAATGAAACTAAAAGTACACAATGTAGCCTCCTTGTGGTGCAAGATAAGCACTAGTACTATCTGCCCCACCTCCAATTAACTGCAATATTCATAAGACTAAATTGATTCTAACAGAAAAGTGCTGGAATTATATTAGAACACAAAAGAACCACAGGCAGTTGAATTCACTGTAGCAATTTTGGCCTTTATTATTTCTTAACCTTTTATCTTGGAAAAAAATCCACAGAAAACTAAATGCTATAGCTGTCCCTAATATGAAGTTTGTAAAATATTGTCTAGATGAAAGCTCATTTGAAATAACAAATATGTTTTAAGGCAATGATCCACTTACCATTTTAATGTAAATATAGGGCACAATGTCATTTTCTTTAAAAATATACATACCTTGTTTACTGCTCACACATATGATCAAATCAGAGCCATCAAAAAGAACACTGCCAATTACTGATAATTCAAAATCAGCCCAGAACAAACGCTGACTGAAGTGATCAACTACAAGTCCTGCAAATTAGAAAAAAATATTTTTCCAATATCACATTTGTAAAGGGAAACACACATTTTTCATCCCCGTGACATCTCTGTCAAACCAAAGGGCAAAGGAATCACTTCAGAAGCTTCATTATGCTACAAGTCGTGTCTATAAGTACTAAAATAACCACCCTACATCATGCCGCTAATACAGATCTTTATCAAACTTTGAGTGATGGGTGTTAGGAGAACTTTAGTGGGAACTTCTACCCACTAAGTCACTGGCTCCTTTATGTAGAAATGTGTAAAATATTTGTTAATCCTTTAACAATTTCGAGGTTTAATAAAATAATTTATATTAATTTAGTGGTTCTTCATCCTTAAACTGTACTAATTCAAACAGTCAGAAAAATAAGAACTACATCCTGAGTTCTAAAATTTGGAGATAATGATATTATTAGGAATCTGTAGTTCAGAATATTGTGATTAATTTGACGACTTGAATCAACTTTGGAGTCAGAGATGGTAAAACACTTGAAGCATAAAATGATTAAACTCCCTGCTGGTTATCTAATAAGTTGTCATTTTATAAAAATGAAGGATCTATTTTTTAAAAGTATATTTTAGTATGGTAATAAGCATTAATCAAAAAGCAAAGGGTAAGTTTATATATACAACAACAGAAATTCTTCTAATGATCTGACATCTAGAAAAAAAAACCCAACTTTTTAAAAAGCTTAATTTTGTAAATGTGAGACACACAGAAGTGCAAATTCAAACATGAGAGCCAATAAAAATAGAAACCATACTGTGCCATGTACATCAATTTGGAAAAAAAATACAGAATTTGTGTTTTAGTCTGTTTATGAAAATAACTTAATTATTCTTAGCTAAACTGAAATGTGCAAATATATAACAGAACTGCTACACTTTGATTAGGAATAACGAATATACTGGGTTTTTTAATGGGAGTACCCAATGAGAAACATGTTTTCCGTACCTGTTGGTCTTTGTAAGTTTTTTTGTACTAATATTCTCCGCAAAGTACCATCCATTGCTGCTTCTTCTATATGAGAATGGTCTCCAATTACTGTCCAGTACATCATGCTAGAAATCCCAAACATCAAAATGTATTTTATTGACAGCATAGAATAAAAGGCTAATCTTATTGAAATGTTAGTGCATTTTATGTGGATTATAATTAAGGATCAAAATATCAAAATTACATCCTATATTCCAAATGTGAATTCAATTTTTTAGCTTGAAACCAATGTATCAGAATATGAAGACAGCATCTTGCCTTGGGCTGTTGAATTTCATGATAGCCACAAAAGGGTTAAGGGCTAAAAGTGATACAGAAGTATTAAAGCTAACTATTAAGGCAGTGGTTCTCAACCTGGGGTCCCCAGATGTTTTTGACCTACAACTCCCAGAAATCCCAGCTATTTTACCAAATGTTAGGATTTCTGGGAGTTGTAGGCCAAAAACATCTGGGGACCCCAGGTAGAGAACCACCGTATTAAGGGTTCGTGGCATAAAAACAGACAAGTGGATTCAATAAACTCATTGGATCTGCTTGGCCAGTAAGTTGCTGTGTAGGTGATTCAAACACAATTCTGTTCTCATTTTTCCTATACTACATACATCTGCCTTTAAATTCAGTTAAATGTCTTCATAAAAATCATATAAACTTTTATGTATACTTCTCTTAATATACTCTATATCTTTTTCTCATCACTTTTTATATTATACACATTTTTACAAAAAAATTATCTCTGCATGCCATGTTTGTGGCAATATTCTTCCCCACCTGAGGCATATCCCCCAGTTACATGCATTTCTGCCAAATGTTCAATTTCCAAATAGTATGGCAAAATATAGATATATTAACAACATATATGCAGATATATGACTGGATGCCCAACCATACACCATGTTTATTCGAGTATAAAGTGCCATCAAATGTAATGTACACCTCAGTTTTGATAGCATGCATTACAAAAAAGGAGTTGTTGTCAAATGTAATACGTTATGCCCCTTCACCAGCCTTGTCCAATTCCCAATTTTCCTCATCCACAAAACCTTCAAAACTGAGGGGGGGGGGGGGGGGGGGGGTTGGAAAGCCTGTGAATTAGGCAAGTTGGGAAGAGTCTGCTCCCCGCTATCTTACACAGGTACCTTGCAGCCATTGCCATCACCTTTTCCTCCTCCTCTCTCAATGAGTCAGTCACTCATACAGTGGTTATCTTGCCTCACCTGGCTCTACCTTGCTGTGACTCGGCAGCCCAAGAGCTTAGCCTGAAAGAGAGCACAGCTTCCCATGACTTTTTGGCCAAGCCCTCAGGCTGTCAAGTCAAAATAAATTGTATTGTCGAAGGCTTTCATGGCCGGAATCACTCAGTTCTTGTGGGTTTTTTCGGGCCTATATGGCCATGTTCTAGAGGCATTTCTCCTGACGTTTCGCCTGCATCTATGGCAAGCATCCTCAGAGGTGAGGTCTGCTGGAGCTGGGAAAAAGGGGTTTATATATCTGTGGAATGACCAGGGTGAGACAAAGGACTTTTGTAAGTTGGGCTAGGTGTGAATCTTTCAACTGACCACCTTGATTAGCATACAATGGGCTGACTGTGCCTGGAGCAAACTCTTCTTGAAAGGTGATTAGATGTCCCTGCCTGTTTTTCTCTCTGCTGTTTTTGCTGTTGCAATTTTAGAATTTTTAATACTGGTAGCCAGATTTTGTTCATTTTCATGGTTTCCTCCTTTCTGTTGAAATTGTCCACATGCTTGTGGATTTCAATGGCTTCTCTGTGTAGTCTGACATGGTGGTTGTGAGAGTGGTCCAGCATTTCTGTGTTCTCAAATAAAATGCTGTGTCCAGGTTGGTTCATCAGGTGCTCTGCTATGGCTGATTTCTGGTTGAAGTAGTCTGCAGTGCCTTTCATGTTCCTTGATTCTTGTTTGGGCAATGCTGCGTTTGGTGGTCCCTATGTAGACTTGTCCACAGCTGCATGGTATACGGTAGACTCCTGCAGAGGTGAGAGGATCCCTCTTGTCCTTTGCTGAACGTAGCATTTGTTGGATTTTCTTGGTGGGGTTGTAGATTGTTTGTATGTTGTGTTTCCTCATCAGCTTCCCTATGCGGTCAGTGGTTCCCTTGATGTATGGCAGGAACACTTTTCCTCTGGGTGGATCTTCATCTTGACTCTCGTGGCTTGTTCTTGGTCTTGCAGCTCTTCTGATGTCTGAGGTGGAATATCCATTGGCCTGTAGAGCCCAGTTGAGGTGGTTCAGTTCATCTTGGAGGAGGTGGGGTTCACAGATTCTTTTTGCACGGTCTGCCAAGGCTTTGATGGTGCTTCTTTTTTGACTTGGGTGATGGTTGGAGTTTTTATGTAGATATCTATCTGTGTATGTGGGTTTTCTGTAAACGGTGTGACCCAATTGTTGATTTGGTTTGCGGATGACTAGGACATCTAGAAAAGGCAGTCTTCCTTCCTTTTCTTTTTCCATAGTGAACTGGATGTTTGGGTGGATGCTGTTAAGATGTTCCAGGAACCTGTTGAGTTCTTCTTCTCCATGGCTCCAAATGGTGAAGGTGTCATCCACATATCTGAACCATATCGTGGGCTTTTTGGTTGCTGTCTCCAGGGCTTGTTTTTCAAAGTGTTCCATGTAGAAGTTAGCTATGACTGGGCTGAGAGGGCTCCCCATAGCTACTCCATCTTTCTGTTCGTAGAATTCATTGTCCCACTGAAAATAGCTGGTGGTGAGGCAATGGTGAAACAGCGCCGTGATGTCTTCTGGGAACCTCTGGTTGATGAGTGTCATGGTGTCTGCAACTGGGACCATGGTAAATAGAGACAGTTTGTCATTTGTATTTAGCTTGAAATTGCTGATTTTTTCAATGAAGTGGGCTGAGTCCTTGATGTAGTGTGTTGTGAGCCCAATGTGGCTTTGTAACTGTGCAGCAAGAAATTTTGCTAGGTCGTATGTGGGGGACCCAATGGCACTCACGATGGGTCTGAGTGGGGTGGAGTCCTTATGGATTTTGGGGAGTCCATAAAGCCTGGGTGGAAGGGCTTCCGATTTACATAGCTGCTGTCGTATGTCAAAGTTGATTGAGGAGTTCTTAATTAGAGTGTTGGTTTTTCTGGTTATTTTGGAAGTTGGGTCTTGCTTAAGTTTTCTGTATATAGTAGGGTCCAGGAGTTTTCTGATCTTCTCCTTGTATTGCTCTGTATGCATGATGACTGTGGCATTCCCCTTGTCTGCTGGCAGAATGAGGATATCAGGATCTGAATTTAGGTCTCTAATGGCTTGTCTTTCCTTCCTTGTAATGTTACTGGAGTCAAGCAAGGTGGAGTGGTCACTGCATGATCTAACAGTAGCTGCAAGGTTCCCACATCCTTCAGGGCAGCATCAGTTAAGAGCGAGTGAAAGAGTGGAATTGCATACACAATTTTAACAAAGTATTTTGGTGATGTAATTCAACCAAAAAGCACATTAGACTTGAGAATTGTATTATTTAGTTATTTTAGTGTATACCGCACTTCCAAAACAGCTTTGTGTGTGTTTACCATGTATGTATGTATGTATGTATGTATGTATGTATGTATGTATAAAAGCTGGGAAACTGTAAGCCTGGCTTCTTACAAGTCATCTTAATAATCGTCAATGTGTGTGTATGTGCACACACACAGAGCCATCTTAAAAGAAAAACTGGATAGCATCTATCCCTTCTATAGCATTCACACAAGTTAAGTATGGGGGAACCTTCACCTCAGGAATGAAATCTGATAAACCTGATATCCAGGTTTATTCCAGGTTTAAATAATACTTAGAAAGAATCTGATTTTCCTCAAAGAACCAAACCTTAGCTGATATGGAGGCAATAGGGCCGGTCTCCTGGGAACACTATTTGCGATCCCAGAAGGCATGCCAACAGCTACATCTCCCCTCTCTGCCCCCCTGTTTAGCCCTAAAAAAGAGAGATAAACAAGGCTTGCCTCATCTTTCTGGAGCTTGAAAATGAAACTAAATAGCATTTGGCAGTATGGAAGGGCCTTGAAAGTTTTAAATTCCTCTTCTAAGCCGTAGTTAGTGACAATTATAGATTTAATTTATTATATATGGATAGTGTTTTACCATATCAATTTATCTTTAGTTCTACCCATTCAGGATTTCCTCCATAAAATGAGTTCTGAACTGGAACAAGTTTGTTCACCCTTGTTGTTTAAATCTCTGTGTTTAGAATATGTCTTAGTGTGCATATGCACACACTTCATAGACAGAGTAAAAGTGTTGAAATGCATCATTGTTCCCATCCTGAACCAATTAAAACCAGGCCAAAGATACTTCAAATTGACAAACTACTTTAGGCAGTGTAAACTTTGAAAGTCAACCCTGAAATACACCAATTTCACTTTAAAATTCAACTGTAATGACTGCAATAAAGATCAACATACCCTTTTGGAGGATTTACAGCTATTGCATATGGTTCTCCTGCCATATTTGTAAGGAGCCTTGTGCAGTTTGGTCCATTTATCTGCCCTACATTGATGGAATATCTTAGACTTGTCCAGTGTGTTGTATAATAACTAAACCAATGCATTCTGGAATGGTCAGTCCAATAAATGTTTCCAGCTATCCAATCAACTGCAATGTCTCTAGGTCTTTTGAATTCAGGACACTAAGGGAAAGAACAGATTCTAAATTTAGTATTCTTCACATTCCCTGCTTATACATTTTCATACATCAAACCAGAGAGTTCAAGGCATATTTGTAATATGGAATTAAATTTTAAGAAATCATTCAGTTCTTTATTAAAGATCAGAGTTAATAAAGTACTTTAGATGTTTAATAACAACAGGGTTTTTTTAAAAAAAAACTCCCATGGCAAAAGACATATGGCTGGATCTTTTGCTAGACTACTACAATTCCTACTGCTTTCCATCCTACAGAATTACATTATCCCCTTCCTGTGTAGCTATTTGGATACTGTATTTTTGCAGTGGCTAGGAAAAAAAATCAATTTCACATTTTGCTGTTAATTGTGAATGCACAACTGATATCTACAGAGTGGAGTACATATGCAAGTGCAATGAAGTAGGAATTTTCACAAGAAGAGCCCCATTCAGCAGACACTGTGTAAAACACACATACAAAGATACCAATGGCAAATGTGCTAGCTTTTTACCAGAAAAATGCTGTGCTGTTACTAGGGTTGGTGCCACCTAGTACAACAGTTCATGGTGTCTCCCTCCTGAACCAGGGCCATATCAAAAAATAGCACAACATTTGACAAAAGGAGCAAATATTTTTAAAAATAGCAGCAATGAAAACAACAGCACATACTTGTAGCATGTAGAGACAAAACCATATTATTCAAGGCATCATTGTAATTGGGTAATAATGATTAAATTAGAGCAGTGCATGGATAACTTAGTACTCAGTGTAATAAGAAGAGATGTGGGTTTCTAACACATAAAGAAAAATATATAGAAGAGCTAATGATTCCTGGACTAAGACCAACACTGTTTTCAACCAGGAGGGTAGTTTTCCTTTTGGAGCAGGATGGACAACTGTCAGATTGACCCCTAGGAGATCTTGGAGGACCACGTTTTTGTTGATGCAGCCCACACAATAAAATATTTTGCTGTAGTGCCCTCTTGAGAACCCAGGGCATTTTCACCACAATTCTCCACACTAAAGTATTTTAGGCCAAAGAGAGGGCCCTTTTTAAACAGGAATTAACCCATTAGTTAATTCATGTTTAAGTAAAAGGCTTCTCCTGGGCCTAAAATGGCCCAGAGGGCAAAAAGAAGAAAAGAAAAGAAAAGAGCTATCCACATAACCCCTAAATGGTATTTGGGGGTAATTTATTCCTGAGGACCTCAAGAGTCTCAAAAGAAACAAACCACATTGTTTCCACTAGAATTACATCCACCAGAGTTACATATCTTATATAAACTTGCCCAATTTGTACTACATTAGATGCATCACAGCCCACATTATACTTAAAAGTCCTTCAGCTTGCTAGGTCACAGTTAGTGCAAAATATCTGTTCTATCACATGATCAGGACCTGGGCTCATTTAGCCTGTTTGTTCCTTCAAGTCTTTCCAAGAATGTCCCTCTCAATTTTTATGGGTAGTGTACAGAAGTTGATTATAAATTGTATGATTTTAACTGTATTTGTGTTTAGATTGGCTGCAGTAATGCTGGAGCGGCCTAAGTCAGAGGAGTGCGTTGCCATGGAGACGATGCTGTAGAGAGAGAAGTGGGAGGAGCTTAGAGGGGAGAGTTTGAAAAACGACAGTTAATGTTCAGTTAGGGTTTTGGAGTCGGAGTTAGCAGTTGAGAGAGAGAGAGTGGGAAGTAGAGAAGCAGTGTTTGTGAATAGTCAGAGGTTTCTTCAGTTTAGGAAGGCTGAAGGGGAAACCTTATTAGTTTCATTAGTTAGAGAGGACTAATTGAAGCTTGTTTAGATCACTAGTTAAAAATGAACTAGAGATCTGGGGTTTGATCACGGAAGGATCAAACAGGAAGACTATTCACCTGAGGGAACATTGTTTTAATAAAGTGCTTCACCACAGTAAAAGTCAATTACAAGTTGTAACATCCAGAAGTGTGAACTGTATTGCAACCAAGTTACATGTAAAGTTCTCAAAGTATTTCCAAGTTTATCAACAGCCTGCAACCATACGCTTTGTTCAAAATAAACTTGTTCTCTTTTGTTTGAAGACTGCCTCATCTCCTTCAATTCTGCCTCCAGTGTGCCATTTCTCACAATAATACATCTTACCTCACATTGGTGGCAGAAATACAGAGAAATAAATAATAAATCTCCCTTCCCTCCTCTCTCCTAATTCGTTACAAATTGGTGGCAGACGACGGGATCCGTTTAACAACTGATCAAGTGCCTTAAGACTACTTTGAGAATAAATTGTGAGGTAAAAGTCATTGAAATATGGCTACCAGACGACAAAAAAAGCTTGTTGAGGAAACAGAGGGAGACCAAGAAGGAAGTTCGGGCTCTGAAGCAGAAACAGAGCCAGTGCCTGTGTCAGAAATGGCTTTTAAGTACAAACTAGAGATGAAACGATTGGAAATCGAGGCAAAAGAAAGACAAAGAGAGAGAGAACTGGAGATAGAGGCAAAACAAAGGGAGAGAGAACTGGAGATGGAGGCGAAACAAAGGGAAAGAGAGTTTGAAGAAAGACAAAAAGAGAGAGAACAGGAGATAGAATTGAAGAGAATGGAATTTGAACTGCAAAAGCAAAAATTAGCTTTGTCTCAAACATCCAGTAACATCCAAGAAGGGAGCTCTGGAGTGGATACCCCAGATATGATAAAGAGATTTCCTAAATTTACTAAGGATGACGATGTAG